CCCCCTCCCTTCTCTCTTTGTTCCCTCTCTTCCTCTCCTCGCTCTCCCACTCAATCTCACTCTCTCCCTCTCTCTCTCTCCCTCTCTCGCTCTTTCCTCTCTCTCCTCCTCACTCTCTCGCTCTCTCTCTCTCTCTCTCTCTCTCTCTCGCTCTCTCGCTCTTTCTCTCTCTCTCTCTCGCTCTCTCTCTCTCTCTCTCTCCGGCTCTCTCTCTCTCACCTTCTCCTGCGCAGCTTCCAACTCCACAATATTGATCAGCGTCGCCTTATACTGTCTCAGCTTCTCTTCTATTAATGCTTGGACGCAGACTGCTTGCCTTGAGACCTAAATTACTTCCAATAGTCACTGACTCTCTCTCTCTCTTAATTCGTACATCAATCAATGTATCCTGTGCATGAACAGCATGCTGTCTCCTCATCAAACACGGACCAAAAACGAGCGCCAGATTTGAGGGGCCCATCCGGTTCACTGGTTCCTGGAAGGGGTACGGTAGCTAGGTTACAATTCAGAGTTCTACCTGATGTGCAACTCGAGCCAAATGATACATCAATCGATCGAGAACGTTTTTGTTGTGTTTTGGCAAGAGTTCGACCATGACGGAGAGACAGCGCACTCGCTCGGCAACGGCTGTTACTTCTAAAAAACTGGCACTATTCCCTTAAGCTCCCGTTTGGCATGTCATGCTCCCTTTAAAATAGTTTTTAGAGCTCAAGCATGAGCACCTTTAAAAAGAAATTTTCGGATGGCGAAATTCTTTAAAAAGCTTTCTTTTGAAGTCCTGTTCGCTTTAAGATCGTTTCTCATGCGTCAGGATCCCTTTAAAATGACTTTCCATGTGCCACCTACCCCCTTAAAAACATGTTTTGTGTCCCAGTCCCTTTAAAACAACCCAAAAACCCACCAGAAACATTCAGAAAATTTTCGTAGAGATCATAGGTGATGAGGGGATCGGGTAATTCTCGAAAGAACGATTTCACCAAGGCGGAGAGCACGTGAACAGGCATATCATCTACTGACAGTTGATCGGCGTCTACAAGCAAAATTCGGATTTTGAGCAATTTCTACAGTATACCTGGTGCCGTTTCGATGGCTCTTCGAGATGCTCGAACCTGTGCCATACTTCCGCTTTTCCTGAAAAATATTGGCGTGGAGCGAAAACTTGCTTGGACGGCCCTTCAAAATCGCAAATTCCGATACGCTACCTGTACAGCCCCTCGACGAACAGCGCCCGCAATTCAATCGTCGTCAGCAGTTTGTTCAGAATCGTTGGAAGGCCCTAAAAAAGAAAAAATGAGCTAGCAAGCTAGCAGCGAATATTAGGGAATTCCGGAGTTCCTAGAAATTACCTGCTCATCCTCCGCCAAGGCAGTGAGAGCAGCTCCAAAGAAACGACCGCCACTTGACTGAAAATAGGGATTGAGAGAGAGATAGACAGAGAGACAGCGAAGACAGCGAGAGAAAGAGCGAGAGAGAGTGAAAGACAGAGAGAGACAGCGAGAGAGAAAAAGAGGGAGAGAGAGAGAGAGAGAGAGAGAGAGAGAGAGGGAGAGAGAGACTTAGGTAGAGACCGAAAGAGAAGAACTATTTTATATGTATTTTATAGTTAAAAACCCACCGTCTGTGCCCCGGGTGGCAACATGCAAGGGGCCGTGATTTTTGTGTGGCATCGTTTGTGAACCTGCAAAAGTTCGAATTCCGGTAATTTCTAGGTAGCTAGCAGAGATCCTTTGCGGAATTCGGCAATATTCTGCTTACCGATATTCGACAAGTATTACAGATGAATATCTTCTCGGCATGCCACATGAACTCGTTGCAAAGCTCGCAGTACGTCGGAACGTGCACAAAATCGCCGCGGAAGCGATGGCCGGCGTGGATCTGAAAATGAAAATGAATTCTATATCTCACACTCTCATGCTCTCTCTTGCTCATGCTCTATCTTTCACTCATGCTCTCTCGCCTTCTCGTTCTCAGTCTCACTCTCGCTCTGTCTCTGTCTCTCTCGTTTAGAAAGCATGAATGAGGGAGTCAGGGAGATAGAGATAGAGAGAGAGCGAGAGAGCGAGAAAACGAGAGAGAGAGAGACCACGAAAGGAGAGAGAGCAAACTAGAGCGAGGAAACATGAGAGAGTCAAAGTGAGCGCTTCTAAAGGACCGGTGAAGTCGCAAAACAACTTAAAACAAAAAAAGGTTTTAAGTGCTCACCACAGTAACATCAGACCGCCGCCGCTTCTTACGGTAGCTCTAGAAATTAATAAAAATCATGACAAAATTGATAAATCAAGATTTCAGTGCAAATTCACCAAATTGTGCTGAAACCAATTGATAGTATGGCCGAAATTCTGCTATGTATAACTACCGTCTACCGTACCCGGATGATGCCGCCCGTTTTCTGCTTATTCTTCTTGAGCTTCGACTGCTGGGCGACAAACTCGTTGAGGAAACCGCGGAATGCGTTGACGCCGAGTGGGAGGGGGAACGTCACTTTTTCTTCGCGGCATACCTGGAAATGGTCAAAATTCCTCAAGAATCTCTGCTAGTTGACCCTTTCTGGGCTTGCAGGAAAGCCTCAAATGATCTCTGCTAGCCTGCCTGGAACTGTGTTCCGAAGGTTCTGGTGCTTTAGCGGGGGGAGGTATTGTGAGTTTACCCGCGATATATGACCTACCCTCCCCCGTTAATGGACCAGAACCATTCCGAGCTTACAAAATCGTCACAAATGGTCTTAGTTTGCCTTGCGTCTTTGAGGCTTGAATTCCTCAATGTTCTCTACTAGCCTCCCTTTGACGCGCTGGTTTCAAAAATTTTCTCTGCAAGCTGGCCCATAGCCGTCCAGAGCCAATTTTCGTCATGAATCTTTGCTAGTTGACCTCTTACTGGGTCTGCAAGGATCCTCAATTGTCTCTGCCATCTTCCTCAAAAATTCTGGTGGATTGCCCTATGTTTCCTCCAAAATCGCTGTTAGACGGCCTTCCTAAGGATCCTCTGCTAGCCTGCCTTGCGTATTTTCAAATAATCCTTGCTAGTTAGCCTCAATTTCCTTAACAAAATCTGCCAGGCTGCCTAAAATTTTTGGTTCGCATGTATAAAGCTCAAGCTCAAGCTCAATCCCAACAAACTCTCTATGACATATGTTCATCCTCAAGGATCTCTGCAAGCCTGCCCAACATCCGGAAATATCTCTGCAAATTACCTTTGTCAACAGCCCCTCAAACGTGGTGATCAGATCCTTATACCGTAACACGGTTCCCTCTTCTGTCAATATCGCCTCATATCCGATCAATTCCATGTGGAATTCACGCATCGATTTTTTGAACAACGAATCCACGATTGTATCTCGCTTCTTTTTGTCCTTAAAAAAGAATTTTTGAAATTTTAGGCGCGAAAAGGACTGACCTGGTCCAAGTTGTTGAGCTTCTTGAACATGAACACCGAGAAAAGGCGCAAATCTTCTACCGATTCCACCACCATACTCAAAGGGTCCGTCTAAATTGGATGATTTTGATCTTAAAGGGAAGAGGAAGACAAGCAAAGTTGCCATAAATCCGGCTTTGATTCCGTAATCGATTATGGCAGGATAATCAAGGCAAATCAACTTAAAGGAACAGACAAGGCATCGCTATAGATTTTCTTGACTTGTCAATACCTTGAAAGGCCCATTGAAGGCAAAATTTCTCTAATAACCGACCTGTTCCTTCGTCCTGAACAGGTTGAACTTGGTGTGCTGTTGACCGGACGGGGGTAGGGTTGGGGATTGACGGACTGGAGGAGGACGGTGGTTTCTAGACGAGCAACAGTTTTTATAAATTGACCCGTCTACCGTATCTCCCATGGTCTTCTCGGGGGTTCGAGACGGGTTGGAGAACGAAGTGGAGATGTGGGTGAGCATGGCATTGAGGGGGCAAAGGCTGAGCATTCTTTGTGGAATGTCATCTTGCAACCTGGAAATTGGAGTTGGTGGGCTGGCAGGGATCCTTTGAGAATGGATGGGCGGCTAGCGGGGACCATTTGGGAATTGATGGCAGGGCAGACTAGCAGAGGCTCTTTGGGAACCAATGCAAACGAGCATAGATCCTTCCGGACGGGCAGGCTGGCAGAGAACGTTTAGGAGGGGCAAACTAGCGGGGATCATTTAGGAATTCGACGCGGGCTAGCAAAAGGCTAGGCTAGCGAGATTCTTTGGAACGGGATGGAAGGCAGGCTAGCAGCGACCATTCCGGAAAGGTAATCTAGCGGGCGGCTTTGGGGAATGGGAGGCTAGCGGAGATCATTTGGGAAGGGCAGGCTAGCAGAGATCATCACGGATTTCTGGTTTGGAACGAAAAAAACTCACGTGAACATTTATGAGCTTGAACCAGCAGCCCTCCGACCACTTTTCCACAAATCGCACACGGCTCCGCTTTTCTCAACCTTTGCACCTTCAAGCAATGAGGCTCCGGACCGGTCAGGGTACTGCAATTCAAGGTGTCAGACAGTAAGGATCTGAGGCTACCTGGTGGATGGATGGTCTTCCTCCCCATCCGAAGCTGCTCCACTATCACTCCTCCTCCCAAATAACCCTCCAACAACTTCCTTCAAATTCTTCTTCGCCTTCTGGAACCCAATCTTCCCGCCGAGGGCTTTCTTTTTGCCGATGGCCGACGAGAGCTCAAAATAGGATGGGTAAGCAAAATAAATAGTTATAGAACTTTTTCGAAGTCAGTATTTTAAAACCGAATCATGATTTTGCAAAAAAATTATTTTCCGTCAAAATTCAGCCTATAGCTCAGTGGATAGCGATCGGGATGTCAAGCTAGGGGTCGAAGGTTCGGCCCCCGACCACAGCAGACTTTTTGCTTTTTGCCTACAGAGGCTGGGAAGCCTATCTGTGGATCTGGGATGACGATTAAACCGGAAACTGGTTACGACAGGTTTTCTACCGGCACGTTTTCTAACATTTTAAAATAAACAATTTAAAATTAATTACTCCCACTTTTTGGTTAAAAAGTTTAATTCAAACTTCAAAACCCTTTAAAGCCGACCTCATCCAAAGTTCGTAACGTCTCGCCCTTCCTCGCAATCTGATCACTCTCCGTACTCGCCGCTCTTCTCAACATCTTGAGTTTTGACGTCGACGCCGTGGCGGCAAGGCTTTGCCGCCGGTGAAACGCGTTTTCCGGGCCTTCCCTAAAAATTATATTTTGGCATTTCCGATCTGATTTTACTCTATCAATTTCAGTTTCGTGTCCTCAAAGGTGAACTCCACGTCCAGATCCACGTTATCGTCCCTGGAAAATAAATTTTTGGGTGTTTTTGCACTTTTAAAGGGTTTTTGAAAGCAGAATATTGAGCGAAAAATCGTGAGCTTATTTTCTTGACTTCCCGGTCCCTTTAATGCCAATCAATCGATAAATTAACGTACGGAAAAGTGCCAAAAACGTCTCCTTCCGACGGTGTCAAATCGAGGCCGTCATCCGATTCGTCTTCCGATGAGCATTCATCAGAAGACGTTGCAAACTGGAAAATCGTAGAATTTTTTGGCTGGTGATGGAAATTCTCTTACCTCAGCCAACGAAGCCGGGTTTGTTAAGTCGAATTTCGGCAGTTGAAATGTGTGGATTTTTGTGATGTGGAAGCGGTTGAAGCCTTTTCGGGGAATATCGCCGATTCTAAAATGGAAGGCTGGGATAGACGATTACGCCAGCCAATAGTGACGTTTTTGTGGCTTGAAAAAGATTACGGCATGGAATTGTTTTTCTCAAGCGCCGGTCAAAGCCTAAAATAGGCTTTTCCAACTGATCTGATTACGCCCGGATAATCGATGTCCCTTGATTTGCGAGCGATTACGACATGAAATTCGGACTCAGGTCGATCCGATTACCCTATGAAAATCGAAAAGGCTACCTCTTTCTTGTCTCCGCTCCTCTATATGCAGCTTGCAGTGCGATGATCGTCGCTCGGAGCTGCTTGTAGCGCATCTCGTCGCGATAACTGAAAATCGGTGGTTTAAAGGGCCATTGAAGACACTTTTTCACTATAGTTGAAGGGCTAGTAACCTCCCAAGTATCAACTCGATGGTTTGTTCATGGTTTAAAGGAGGGTCGAAGCGACTGACCGTCTCCAATTCGTCTGTATCACCATGGCAGCATAGCTCTGTTGACGTAGCTTATTTCTTAGTTGCATCCCACGGAACATAGCTTGAATACGAACTACACCAGCACGAAGACGAAGATACTTCTTACGGGCAAGGACCGTACGGAACCACCTGGAAAAATGGTCTTCTCTACAACTTTAACAACTAGTTTTACCGTTGCAGCGTGACGATATGATGCATAATTGTTCTATGCAGAAACTCGTCCAAAATCAATTTCTCCGCATCTCTCATGAATACCTTTAAAATTTGATTTTAAGTGAGTTTCATCGTACCTTTGTCAATCCATACTGCACATTTTCTTCTTGAATTTGTGGATGATTTCTGATGAATGTTTGAACATCTTCGACACGACTATCCAGGCCACCGGGTAGTAAAATACGATATTGGTTGATGAATGCCTAAAAAGGAGGCAATTTCCTTTCACTGCTCGTTTGTCATGTATTGCTCCCCAATCTCTCACCTCGTACTCAATCCTGACGCTATATCCGGCTCTTCTGATCCTGACCGTCTCCAACATTCCCGTATATCTCAGTTGTCGCAAGATAATATCCTCATCAAAGTGGTTTGCTATCTGAAAATCGTGATTTCGCTGATACCCGCGCATTAATGTTATACCTTTTCGTTGTTGCTCTTAATGCATCTGATGAAATATGGGGTGGCCGAGCTGAGGGTTGACATTAGACTGAAAATTAGATAGATTGCATGGGCTCAAGCTTAGCTTCTGGCTACCTTAAGCTTGGCCTAGACTCAGCTGAGCTTAGGCTAGGTTAGGCTTAAGCTTACAAACCTACCGGATCAAGCTGTATTCAAATTGGCGCGAAACGGATGTCGGTTTTTGTGAGGTGACCCCGCGCTTTCGACCCATCGCATCGCGGAGAATCTGAAAAATTAGCTTGTTCTCGTTATCTCTCTCTCTCGCTCTCTCTCTCTCTCGCCTACCTGTAGACTTTTAAGCGTAGACAATCTTTCCTTTTGCGGCCGAAGCATACTCCTTCTAGCTTGCGACGTGATCGTCCCAAACACGGACGTATCGCAAAAGTCGGGTATTGATAGTCTAAAAAAGCGGTTTTTTATCACTTTTTTTTTTTTTTTTTTTTTTTTTATATTTATCATGGCAAGCGAGCGAGCCGGCAGAGTACCTTGGGGAAATCTGTCCGAGTCCCCATTAAAACACTCCTGACTTACCGTAATTCTCCACGCAAAAATGCGGACAATTGTGAATCGCTGCTCCTCCTCCCTCTAGCCACTCCCTCGTCCTGTACGCCTAGATGGCCTGCACTTTCTGAAAACAGCCAATTTTCAGCTGTCACCGTCTCTTTAAATACCGCTTCTCTGGATTGTACGGGCCGCTTGTTTGAAGGCTTGAAGAGCACGGAAAACGGAACGTACGAGGGTCCATCTGAAATGGAAAAATGGGAAAATTGGTATTACGGTAGGTAGACGTAAATTGAAAATGATGCTTCTAGGTTAACGGGGGGCGGTTATTTTCGGGGGGGCGGATGAACCTTTCTTTGTTTAGCCTGATCGCCTAGGGTAATTGTAGTTTAGTTATCTGTTTTTGGTAGTTCCGAAAACCAAAAATTATACAAGCATTTATCCTAGAGTCAAAACTGGGTTTTGGTCCTTTTAACCATTTTCATACACGCCCGATAACCTGGAAGCCCATTCATTTCGTTTGCATTTGTTACAAAGGTAAAATTGGACTACGGTAGGTCGGCGCAAGATTTAAAAATTGCGTTTTTGATAGCTCGGAAAAACAAAATACTAGAAATTTGAATTAAGGCAATTGCAAATTTTAAAAATCGCGAATACCTGGAATACGGTAAGCCCCAAAGATTTTTAAAAAATCAAAGTACGATAGCTGAAAGCTAAGCAAAAACCAAGAAATTAAACTTGAATTCAATCCATTCAAGATTACGGTAGAGCACGCTACACTCCACCGAGTACGCGACGCACCTATACACGGCCACCGGATCAGAGCCGACCAACTCGCGTACGACGCCATATTTCGAATTTTTCAGCGTCACCAGCACGTCGTGGCGCATCAAATCTTTGTTCTTTTCCCGGAAGCCCTAGGAAAAATAAAATTATTATGAAGAAAAACAGGATTTTTGCCCTCAGATGCCTTTAAACTGAAAAGGCGCTGCACCTACCGTAATCTGGTACTTGACCTTGCCGGCATAGTGGGCCACGATGAAGGCCTTCTCACGTTTTTGGGGCATCTCGTAGAATTCGTTGTTCTGGAAAAGGAGGGGTTACTGTTTTTGCTTCTCTCTCGCTCTCTGTCTCTCTCTCTCTGTCTCTCTCGCTCTCTCTCTCTCTCCCCTCTCTCACCTTCAAGAATTGATTCAGCTTGTCAAGCATGGATTGGTCCGTGCCGTTGTGAATATTGGATTCCTCATCGATTAGCCGCAAAATACCGTACGGTTTTGCCTGAAAAATTGAATATAAATTTTTTTAACAAATAAGACGTTTTGACAACGATAAGACAAATGTCAAAATTAAATAAGTTAAATGTAATACTTGGAATAAATGGAGGCATTCCGTGTTGTCGGTATATTCAATATTCGTCCAGCTGATGCCTTCTTTTAGGTATTCTTCCTGAAGAAATTAGCATATTTCGCTCTCTCCCGTGCCTCTCTCTCCCTCTCTCTCTCGCTCTCCCTCTCTATCTCTCGCTCTGACTCTCTCTCTCTCTCTCTCTCTCTCTTCTCTCTCTCTCTCTTACTCTCTCCCCCTCACCCTCACCCTCATGCTCACTCTCTCTCACCTGCTCAAATTGAAAGATATGTTGATTAAAGTAGGCCTGCAGATGCTCATTCGCATAATTAATACAGAGCTGCTCGTAGGAATTCTTTTGCCCTCCAACGTCTTCAAACCCGAATATATCCAGGATTCCTGGAATACAAAAATATAAACTACAACCCTGCTTTAATTTAAAGCTTTTAGGGGTCGAATTCAAGTTCGGATACTACAATAATTCTAAATCCAAATTTTTGTGTTGAATTTAATGTTTCGAGAAGGTGATTTATATTTATCTAAAATTTAAATTAATCTTACTTATATGCTAAAAACTTCAAACTACAAACCGATATAATATCCATTCGTGGGTGACTGGGCCCTGAGAAGTTGTTGATTGATGCGGAGGACGATCCAGTGGAAAAGGGCATTGTATAGGCATTTGGCCATGGCATCTCGCGTATTTGTAGCCTAAAATATTTACTTGACTTTATGAGCAACTTTAACCCTACCTCCGATACGCTATACCTCGAGATTACGGTATCATTCTTCGTGATCGTGCGCTTCATAGTAAGGGCCTGGAAAAAGGCTATAAATACGTGAACATAAGCAAAGATCAGTTGTTTGCTACCCAAAGACACCTTTAAAAACGTATTTCCTAGATTCTGGCCAGAAAGCAAAGGCAAATGCCGCGAAAAGGATTGAACCAGGCCCCTGAGATCGACAGGTAGACACACTACCAATTAGCCAAAAGGGTGACCGACCTGGGAGAGATGATCGGCTCTGATATTCAACAGTTTCGCCACCAACCCCACCACCTCCTCATTTTCGATATAGGCCGCCTCGTCGCTGTGGTAGCCTTGGCGCTGTAATTTGCATAAATCGGCGTAAAATTCGTAAACTATTTAAAGTATTTAATCAATACAATTTTATGCCATATAATTATGTATACATTTATGAAATGTGTTAATTTAAATAAATAAATAAAACTAATAAGAATATATCAAAAATATAACAAACACATACCTTAATATATTTAATATTTCCCAGCAACAGTACAGCCGATATAATGGCTTGTAGGGTGTGTTGCGTAGTGGGTGGGAAGCCAACGGCCAGCATCGCCTGAAAATGGAATGTCACCGTCCCTTTAAAAATCGTTTTTCTCTATCTCTCCCTCTCGCTCTCTATCTCTCTCGCTGTCTCTCTCTTCCTCTCTCTCACCTGTTTCAAGCCTGCCCCATTCATACTTCTCATTTACACCCTCCGTCGGCTCGTAGGCGTTCTAAAAAGCGATAAAAATCTATATAAACTTTATTCAAATTAGCCACCTGGTTCAAATAATTATAGTCATCCGGTTTCATAAGGAAGAATTCCTTCCTTTCCTCTTCAGTCGCCCCCTCCAATAGATAGTAGAACACGTGGTAGTTCCTTTAAAGGGACCGTGAATCCAGGGATGCTATGGATTTCCAGGATTTGCAGAACCTACCTCTCGCCTACGGCCTGGGAGATGATGCGCGACTTTTCGAGAAGGTAGATTTCCACGTTGGCACTGAAAAGCTTGGAAATTTGGAGAGAGAGAGAGAGAGAGAGCGAGAGAGAGAGAGCGAGAGAGAGCTAAAAACTAAAAACTTACCCAGAAACCATGCCATTCTCTCGATAATTGACCTTGATGAACTTGCCGAACCGCGAGCTGTTGTTGTTCTGCGCCGTCACAGCGTTGCCGAAAGCCTGTAAAATAAGGTTGAAATTTTAAAGGACGAGAAAGACAGAATGAGAGAGAGAAAGAGAGAGCGAGAGAGAGAGAGAGAGAGAGAGAGAGAGAGAGCGATGAGATACCTCAAGTACCGGCCCAGCCGATAGTAACGTTTGCTCCACCGAACACCCCGTTGATCCTTTTTGGGAGAGCGTGGTGAGATGATGGAGCAAAAAATTCGTCGATTCCGTTTTTCCTAAAAACGCGAGATGCCATTTTCCAAACGGTTAGTAGTAAAAATTACCGTACCTGATCCACTTTCTCCGGAAATGACGACGCATTGGTTCTCCTTGATTCGAAGCATACTAAAAAAAGATAGACGAAGGTAGAGGTAAGTTAGCAGAAATTGTTTAGGAAAAACTGACGGCCGCATCGTTTAGGAACGAATTAAAGCCCATTAAATCGCCTACTTATGGTATGTGACATCTGCAATGGCGAATATGTGAGGTGGCAGTGATCCGAGTGCCGATGAACAGTACAACCTCGCGTATTTCGGGTTGTAAATCGGGAAAAAGCTAAAAAACCAATTTAGGCAATTTTTAATTGATTCCGTACCTGAACGGGTTGACGGCCACTAAAATTGGACCAATGTAAGTGTAGATGTGGCCGCTGTTGAATCTGAAAGAAAGGAATTTGCATATATCTTTTCACTCTGTCTCTCTCTCTCGCTTTCTCTCTCTCTCTCTACCTGTCTCTCAAATTATCCAGCAGCGTCTGTTCCGTCAACTCCGGCAAATTGCACAAATCCGCGTATTCTCGATCCTGAAAAAATTTAAGCAATTTCCTCAATAATCCGTGCTGGTTTGCCTTCCAGTTTCCTCAAAATTATCCGCTCGATGCCCGTACCAAGTCTACAATGATCTTGCTAGCCTGTGTAAGAACCTTTACTAGCCTCTTTCGACAAAAAAACGTTGCTAGCTTCCCAAAGAATCTCTGCTAGCCCACCCTCCCCTTTCCTCAAAGTTTCTCTGCTAGTTAGCCCACCTGTGGTTGCGTCAAAAATTTTGCCAAAAAAGCATCAATCGCCGAGGCAGCTTCAGCCGATCCGAAACGAGACACAGAACGGACTCCCTTATGCCTAAATCGGGTTTTATTCCTAAATCGAGCTCCATCTACCGTAACACAAATCGATGCTTTGGCGCCTGAGCATCAGAAAGTGCTCGTCCTCCCCATAGCGATTGCACGGCCACCGGGTATTCTCCAGCATCCAGTTTTCGCTCCTAAAAATGTACAGATTTCAAGATTAATTGGAGATCGTTTAAAACTACTAGATAAATGAATATATAATTATAATAAAAATTAACAAGCCAAAAATAATAATATTCATATCTTGAAACTATCCAAAATTGGCCTAAAAATACCTTAAAAGTATGGCCATCCGGAGTGCCCATCACCTCGACCAGCTCCATCTCGTCGGCCGTCTGCTCGACAAGGTCTGGAATTCCCAAAACATCTCTGCTAGCTTCCCAAACCATAGCTCGTTTTTGCCTTCCAAGTCCCTTTAAAGCTACGTGCCAGACAAAACTACCGATTTTCCGTGGCGCTACACGCAACGCGCGCGCTCATCTTTTCATTGCGTAATGGATTGCGAAAAATAGCGCGTGCATGGCGTAACCATGCCGGTCCCTTTAAACGCTCTATAGCTACCGTACCATGTCTCATATGCAGAACTCTATCGATGAGTTCTTCAGTGGTGGCCCTTTTATGGAAATCGAGTACGAGACGATCCTCTTCACGTTCCGGGTTGAAGACAAAGAGGTACACTGTTACGGCGTGAGCCTAAAAAGGAGTAAAAACGGGATCAAAAGCAAAAATATCCTTATTACAGTACTAGGCGTTATCAGCTTTTTAAAGGGACGGTTCAGGCGAGAGAGCGAGAGAGATAGAGCGAGAGAGAGAGAGAGGGAGAGAGAGTGAGAGGGAGAGGGAGAGAGACAGAGACAGGGAGCAAGATAGAGAAAGATAGAGCTCAATCTCTTACCTGAAAGCATGGCGGAACATCATCAGGACTCGTCAAAGTATGCGCCCTCCTTGGGAATATTCCTTGCGCTCCCAGAGCACCAGAGGCTATATCGATACTGTCGAGACTCATTCTTCTTCTCTTTCTTTCACAATGAGCACCATAACCTGAAAAAAACCTGTTAAAGGGACCGGCAACTGTGAAATCGACCCCCCTTCAGTGACTGGGACCCGACGGCTACGAGAAATGCCGAAACACGCATGATATTTTATTTTTGCTCAAAATTCACGCCCAAAAAAGACATAGAAATGTAGTTAGAATTGATGCTTTTGACTTTCGTGTGGCTGTCGAGACCTAGTCAGCCTAGGGGTCGATCCAAGCGCTTTAAAGGGCCCGGCAAGTGAATCAGCAGATAAAAATAAGAGCTAAGGAATGATGAGAGAACACTGACGCATAATGACCGATGAAAAAGTTGGTAATAAATCCCTCTTGAGTGGGAGTCCCAGATGTTTTGAGCGCCAGACGGTGCTCAATATCTATTTGTCATATTTCGCATTGTTTTCAGGCTAAAAATAAACAATTGGAAAGGGTAGGAGCCAGCTGTGGACAGATTTGAGGGGCAGTAGGCTTGAATTTTAAAATATTTAAATTTTAATAGTCTAAAAATAACAAAAAAAATTGTGTGGGCAGGTTTAAAGAATCTAAGTTTTTACGTAACCGTTTTCAAGGGACTGGAACGGCATTAATCTGGCTTGAGCCCACTTTAAAGGGATCACGAAGTCAGCATGACGCTATGGAGTAAACGAAATATCAAAACGCGGATCTTATAGAGCATTTTAAAGGGGCCCGGAACGCATGGGTCTGCCCCTAGGCTACGTTAAAGGAATGAGGAAGGCAAAAACTGCCCATAGATTATTTTGAAGGGATCGGGAAGGCAAGATTCTGCCCATAGATTACTTTAAAATGATCGAGAAGGCAATAATCATCTATAGGTCACTTTCAAGTGATTGAGAAGTCACAAATTTCGCGAAAAATGCATTTAAAGGTGTCTGGAAGTCAGGGTTTGGCTATAGACGATTTTAAAGGACGCCGAAAGGCAAATTCGGCTTCAGAATTTTCCAGAAAAGCGGAAACAAGAAAGGACAATCGAAAAATCACGTGGTGGGGTCACGCGTACGCAGGTGCTGGGCTTTTAGAGCAGCCACCGCCCATCAAAAATCCATAGTTCAGTCTTGCCGGTCCCTTTAATGATCCGTATTTTGCAGGACCGGTACAAAAAACGGGGATGTTTAGCCGGAAAGCGGATCCATAAATATTACTACGGGGGGAAGAAGCCGGAGGGATCGGGAAAGAGGAGAAACAGGCGTGATAGGGGAGGAGAAGCACCCGCACACCACACTGGCACAGATCTTTTGGACCAACGACAGGGAGAAGGGCCCAACAAACACACGCATTCACGTAGAGAGAGAGAGAGAGAGAGAGAGAGAGAGAGAGAGAGAGAGAGAGGGAGAGGGGGGAGTGACGGTGGATATCTGCTGTGCCTCTGCCTGCCGCGGCGGGAAACAAATGATCAAGCCGAGGCAGTTTGAGGGCCCTTCCCGGCTTCTTCCCCTCAATTCTCGGCCACACACAAATCGATCACAAACAATATCCCCCTCACCCACCCAATCCCCCCACTGTCAATCTAACCGCCCAATGGAATTCAATCCCCACATACACAGTGACCGTCTCTGGTTTTAAAGGGGCTGGGAAGGGAGGAATGGCTATGTAAAAGCTGAAAATATGTGGGTAAAGCTAGAATAATAGCTATCTCTCGGTCTCTCGCTCTCTCTGTCTCTCGCTCTCTCTCTCTCTCTCTCCGTTTCCCGCTCTCTCGCTTACTCGCTATCTCTCGCGCGCCCTCTCTCTTCGACTCTTCTCTCTCTCTCTCTCTCGCACTCTATCTATATTTCGCTCACTCTCTCTCACGCTCTCTCCGTTTCGATCGCTCCCATCTGCAGCTCTCTCGCTCATTCTTTCTATCCCTCTCTCTCTCTGATCTTTAGCCCCATTCATCCGCTCTCCAGAAAAAACCGAGCGGGTGGCCAGCAGCGACCATTTGCGGATCTTCTACGCCTTTCTCTTTGGGCTTTTTCGGTCCTAAGTGTCAAAATACAGTAAAGTCCTTTGCATTTTGCCAACACAACCCCAAAACTTTATTTAATACACAGAAAATCACAGGCCATAAAAAATCATAGAAAAATGTTAGTAGATGGTGAGACTGGCCTCATAAATGGCCTGAATATTGTCATGATGAGGGCATCGAGGGGAGACGGCAATGTTCGGGACGCTGTGGATCGCAGCCTCCGTCAATCGCTCACAATCCGACACGTCGAAGCCGAGCGCCGTCAGGCCGTTTGGTGTCTGAAAATGAATACAATAAATAGTCTGCTTCAAAAAACAAGCGTTCCGGCCGGGACCCGAACCCGCGTCCCTAAAATTGGTAGCCCGAGTCGCTAGCCACTGCGCCATGCACGATAGGTCTTTCTGTCATTTTCGACATTTTAGGTTCCAATTTAAGCTAGATTCTCTGTCAACTACCATACGAAAGGCTTACTATAGCCCTGGTAAACCCATAAATTAGCATCCGGCTCAAAGGGGCTATTCCCCAAAGATCCCCGCTAGCCAGTCAAGCCCGACTCAGCAATCAAATATGTGATCTTTTTATATTATTTCTATCAACTATTTTGTTCCACTTTACAACAAAGGGCTATCCAAAACCTTTCCTGTGTACCCTGGAGCCATGCGGAATAAAATCGCGTAAACTAATAGAGGGGCTGGCTTGCCATCGTCGTTTGATAAAATGGCATGATTTTCCTGGATTTCGCAATAGAAAAACTCTATTTCTTCATAAAATATTGTTAGATTAATTTAATAACTAGTATTTCTTTCTCCGACATAAATTCCATATTTTTTTTTGATAATTTTCGTCTCATAAACAATTTTATCATTATTTTAGGTGGGCTTTGCTCCTATATTCGCCCCGGAAAATGGAAGGATCGGGTAGATTTTTGTAAATATTAATATTTGCGGTATAAAAAAAACAAAAGTTTGCTATTTAGCACAATTACAGGCCAATCGACCAGCCGGCCGCCGTCTTTCAGAAATTCTTTCGATTCACCACGACAAAGTGGAAATGTAACACCAATTGAGTAAGTAGCGATAAAATTAATCCTTTTAAGCAATAAAAAGGATTATACAAAAACCAATCGAAACTATTCCTAAACTATGATGTAATTGAAATTATTTAGCCCCCAATCCCCGCAAAGGCCACATCAATTCGGTGCATCTTCTCCAAGAAATGCAGGTAGGTGAGAAAGAGAGAGAGAGAGAGAGAGAGAGAGAGATAGAGAGTGCACAATCAGCTTAAATGAATTTAGGAAACAATCCATCACCCGCCCCTCGATTTCAAAGCGCTATCTCATCTCCAGCCAGGCCAGATCCTGGCGAATGGGAGCATTGGCCGACAAGGGATGGTGGGAATTGATTTCCAAAAGAATCTCCGCTAGATTGCCCTTGTCTTCTAAAATTAATTTATTTTAGAGGTCGAAAAGCAGCAAAATGAGAGGCTCCGATTCGCCGAGCAGCAAAATCAGGGACCAGACGGGTAAACCTACCCCAAAAAAGCGAATTAAAAAATAACAATTTTAGGCCGCCGGGGAATCAACCTCCACTTTTTAGCGTCCCGCAACGATTCGATAGTAGACGGTAGGCTAGCAAAGATCATTTAGGAAAAACCTAAAGCCACTAAAAATAACTCGTTAGAGAGGACGACCGGGTACAGCCTCCGCAACGCCTATCGCAAAATGAACATCAACAGCAACAAGTTCAAAACCAGGGGTTTGGCAAAAATCAGAGTTTTTTTTAGTTTTTTGTTTAGCTACAACAGACCGTTTCTCCCGGCCTCAGCCCCAGTCTCGGCTAGGACAAGCCAAGAAGAGCAGCTACGGTACGCTCCTATGACGGTTCAAGGGCTGGAGAATAGGCTTCCACAAGAGCCTCAAAAACCGTTGGTTCTTCCACGATTTTTGACGTCTAAAAATTCAGACACCATCACTGCTTTCACACGATGGAAACCTCTGGGGACCCCGACCCGCCTGCTGATGAGGTTCGTTTCCAAGGGGTTAAAGCAGTTCAGAGTTTTGGTTCTGGTTCGTTAGCGGGGGGGGTATTTTTGATCACTCCTAGGGCCAAATAATGAAACTGAAACTATTTAGGTACATAGCTATTTATCCAGGCCTTAATAAATATGGAAAGTTCCTCAGAAAATCACTCAAATTTGGAATGTCAGCTTTTGTTCAAAAATTTGTGGATGTTCGAAATTTCTTGTAGCCTTCCAATGCTTTTCAATCTAAATTAAAGTCAGACCCCCGCTAACAGTACAGTACCCAGAATCTATGTCTAACGGCCGATCTCTCAAAAATCCCCATTTTCAGCGCTGGGCCATGTGCCGCCATGATCCTCGCCATTGGTTCCGGTACCACGAGATCGAGAAGCACGAAGAGGGCTGCCCGGCTAGGCCTCGCCATTAATATACCGATACTTATGACGGTTCCACGAATAAAAACCCTAACTTATCCTTACAATCATAGATCCTACTATATATAAAAAATAGTGTTTGTGTGTGTGTATATTTCTCACTTCCGTTAGGTGTTCCGCTCCTACAGCCTCGGGGAAGGGTTTTTGGGGGAGAAACGACAATAGGTTTAGATGGTCCGGAATCGACTCCCACATAAAACTTTGAAAAATTGCGGTTTCTATTAAAAAGGTTTTGAACCCTGTTTTTAGGGAAATTAGCATGCCCGGAAGTAGGAGGGCCTATAAAGGGGAGGGCCGTTTTTCACTTTTCTTCTAATTCAGGAAGAAACATGCAAATAAGGCTTTCAGGTCTGGGGGGCCAGGGTTGAAAAGCCGCGAAGCGTTTTCAACCCTTATCGAAACCTAAAAATACCTTAAAATCGCGCGCGAATCCACGAATCTCGTCGGCAAGAATCTTGCCGATCGTCTCGGGCTTGGCGCTGATCTGAAAAGAAGAAGTCGAAATGGTAATCTATGGAATGATACTCTCAATGCCTTAAAAAAAAAAACAAAAATCCCAGGGCAAAAAAACCAAAACACAAAAAAAAAAAAAAAAAAAAACCCAAAAAAAAAAAAAAAATATTTTTTTTTAAAAAAAAAAAAAAAATAAAAAAAAAAAAAAAAACCCCCAGCAAAAAAAAATTTTTTTTATTATAAAAAAAAAAATAAAAAAAAAACCCACAACAACCCCCACCCCCCCCCCCCTTTTTTTCTTTTTTTATTTTTAATTTATAAAAATAATAATATAAAATATAAAAAAAAAATCAAAAAAAAAAAAAAAATTTTTTTATTAAAATTTTTTTGGTCCCAAAAAAAAAAAAAAAAAAACCCCCCCCGGCCGCGGCGCCCCCCCCCCCACAAAAACCAAAAAAAAAAAAAAGAGGGCCGGGAACAAAATTTAAAACCCCTTAAAATCGCGAAAAAAACTGACCGGAATTTCGGCTCCTAAAGCAATAGCTGCTTCGCGATGGCGATCTGGGCAGGCATGGGCCGTGAATTCAAAATCGGCAGCCGCAGTTGTCACAACGGAGAGGCCTGGAAATCAAAGGGTTTCTGCTCGTTTGCCTCCAACAAAATGAACTAAAAATTAAATCAACCTATGAAAGATTTAATCAAGTAATTAAAAACCTCATTATTCGTATCCCTATTTATTTAATTTAATAAAAAAGAAGAAGATAAATGCATGCAAAATTCAGTAACAATTTTGAAAAATTTCAATCGAGGTTGCATTACTTTAAAAAATACCGTGTGGAATAAGCGGGGAATTCTTCGGGTAATCCGGATCGGTGTAGCGCTTTCCTTGAGAGCTGAAAATACAATAATTATCATTAATTGAAATTATACAACCTGATCGGATAGCTGAGACCGTGCGCAATATGAACACCGGCATTTCCGAAACCAATTCCGGCAAATGAGGCGGCGAGCATCATCTGGAAAAAGTTAAACTAGCTGAAAAATACAATGCAAACCTGTGTGCGCGCCTCCTCATCGCTTGGGTCAAAAACGGAGCGGCGGAAATATTTCGAGATTATCTAAATAGGCTTAAATATAATTAAAGTAACAAACTGGCCTGCAAAGCGTGTAAGCTCCAGACATCGCTGACCGGGTTCGATCCCTGGTAGAGCGGGCGCTCGGCGGGAGAACGAGGCCGGGGAACACGCTCAAGAATTCGATCGATTTACAAGTGCAAAAATACGCACAAAAAACTGATAAATATACCACATAATATAGACAAAAATACCTCGTTATATGGTAAAGCTGTGTAGCTCTCAAGTGCATGGCAAAGCACATCAAATCCCGAGTATACGGCCACGTATTTTGGCATTGACACCACCTAAAATGGTTTAAATAAAATTTTGTTCCGCTCACGTTTAACGGATCCACAAGCGCCAGCAGTGGCTTGATACAACGTAGTCTGATCCCGCTTTTGCATCCGTGTTCTGGGAAATCCATGATTGCCGCGCCTAAAAAGAAAAATAAATTTTTCCGCGGAAAAGCCTTAGCAAACCTGTCGTCTCACTTCCGGTTCCTGCTGTTGTCGGCACCGCGATTAATGGAAGCATCGGACGCTCGGGAATTTGGGAACGACCTGAAAAAATAATTTTTGGAGCTTGAATATACCAAAAGGCGGGCCAACGAAGTCCAGAAAATCGGCTTCCGGATTTGAGGCGTAGAGGGCTGCTACCTAAGAAAGCAAAGTACAACAACAAAAACCCGTACCTTGGCCGTGTCCATCACCGACCCGCCGCCAACAGCCACAAATGCATCAAAGCCGTTCGTCTTCGCAAAATGGATGGCTTTTTGCATACCCAAACAAATTTATAAAATCGATTTGACGTGAAAAATCCTACTGGCATCCGACGGTTCCACTTTCACATCGTCAAAAACGGTGAACGGTATCTCGTGGCGCTTCAGAGACTGATGAACTTGTCTAAAAAGAGAGTCGTCAGTCCAACTCTATTTCACTTACTCGAAGGCCACCGTATTCGCCACCACCGGATCCGTGACCACCAGGATTTTCCGCGCTTTGAGAGTCTACAAAAAAAATTAGGTTTCACAAAATTCGGACATACCCGCAGATCATGCCCAATCTCCTGCGTCACACCGCGGCCAAAACGCAGCGTCGAGAAGATCATTTCAAAGGCATAGTCACTTTCCACTGAAATATTGATTTTTTTTTGGGAAAAAGAGGTAGCATCTAACAAAGAAAATTCCCTACATTCTCTAGACCAGCACTCACCAGCGCGGTTTCCGACCTTCGCGACACGGATGGGCGTCTGCTGGCCACCGGCATGCGCTGGGCAACATGGGCGTGATGAGCCGATTCGAGCCAATAATCCGCGCGCAGCCGCCGCCGCGCTCATCGCGTTATGCCTAAAAATGTATTAGTTGTGGAAAACTCCTATACTATATTCTTTATTCGAAAAGGATGCCTGCATTTTAAAAGGATGAAGAACGAAACCCAAAATCAATTCAGCATAATATAATTTATTAAAAGAACAATGCAAAACCAACTTTTCCAAAAATGCAATATAGTCTTTCGCGTACAGGCAATGAAAAGGTCACGGCCATTCCGCGGGGGTCAGCTGTGTTCGACAACAACAAGAGAGAGAGAGAGAGCCGCAAGATCGATTCCCGAGGCGCTGATAGGCCCACTATAACCAGCCGGATAGCCAGCAAAATTATAATACCAAAAGTTTATTCACCGCAATAATACACATTTTAAATCGAAACACAACAGTACAAATATCTCTCGAGGGGGAAAAGCGGGTGTCTGTTTATGCAGAAACACAGACGAGAAGACGAGTATCTAGAGTCGGAATGGAACAGGGTTTATCACAAATGGGACTTTCTAAAAAAAAAGAGGGCTGGGGAGGTCAAGTTGCTTATTGCTTTCACGAGGGACGATGGTGCATCGGGCGGTGTGCTGAAGGAGAGGTTGGTTGAGAGTTTAGATTTTAAACTAATCGTGGATTTTAGAAGTCCTGGACTGTTAGCGGGGGGAGGGGGCAATCATGAAATTAGAACATGTTTGTGGCATTTTACGCCGCTTGAAGGATAGCAAGTGCATTAAAAGCGTTTTAAAATCTTTGACCTTAGGCCAAAATTCACGGTTTTTCAGAGAACAGGACACTTTTTAGCATCGAAAAACTACGAAAAACGATAAAATCCACCACAAAAAGCCTCAAAAAAAATCCATAAACCGGCCAAATAGCCCCTCCCCCGATAACAGTCCAGTACCGTTTTAGACCGCTTACCGTAGCCCTGGACGTAAGCGGCTTGGCATCCATCAGATTTTCGGGTGGGTTCCGATGAGCGAGTGGTGCTTGTCTGGGCTGTGGTCGAGGTGCTTGGAGGCTGAAAAAGAAAAATATTTTCATGAAACACAAAAATACGTCATAAATAATGGGGCGGGCGGGGCGTTGGTTGTGACGTTCGGCGGATCTCATCTGAGGGTTCGTCCAAAATGGTGTGTCCCGTGTGTACATCGGCTCTACAAGAAAATAGAACTGTAAGAGTCCCTCATCCAAAAATACCAGTAATCCTCATGCTCCTAAATTCGGGGCTTCGCTGCGAAGAGAAGAGGCGCGACTCCTCTTGGCTCATCTCTTCGGTGAATGTTCGGGTTTGGATGTCATCGCCGCGGTCGATACGAGGAGCACGCTTCCCGGATCCGCGTTCCATCACCGTTGCCTCATCTGAATGGAAAAAGGTTTTCGTCGGCTTTTCCAAGATGCATACCTGGATCACAGCTAACTTCCGAAAGCGAGCCGCGTCTGTTTTGCTTCTAAAATGTGAACACAATAGAAAAAGTGCGCCTAGTGACATCACCAGATCAGCAAGTATTTTAAACCGTTTGGGCGAATTTAGCTGTTTTTAAAGTGAAAAACCATTTTCGAAACAGAAAAACGTTGCACATTTATGAATTGGGTTAGAAATTGTCCCCTTTTCCGCGAAAAATCGATATTTTTAATCAAAATTTGTAATTTTACGCTTAGGAATAGTAAAGGACTGCTAAAAAAATTGCGATGAGCGATAAAGTTCGATAAAATTCAATTTATAACCTTACCGTTATCCTTGGAGACGGAGAAATGCTGGGAGGAATGTCGGACGAGACATACTCCGCCGAATCCGTTATCGGCGAATCGAGGGGCGGCCCTAACTCGGAGGGCCCTTCCGTTTCATAAGCCTAAAATTACGGGAATGTGTGCGTTGACGACCGCATACGCTTGAGTGGAAGCTGGAGTTATTGCTGTAGCACTTCCTACAGCCGGGCGGGCACGGGTACTTTGACATGTGGTATACTGTGGCGGCCACCACCTTCGGGTCGGTGTCGGGCTCCTGAAAACACGATTATGATGCGGAAAATAGCGTCATTTTTCTCGACGCCTTAAACCTAGCATAAAAAATGTGAGAGGCTAAGTTAGATAGAAAAAAAGTAAGAGACAAAAAGAAAATTCAAAATCACCTTTTCACGCTCAGCCCTGGGCGCTGTTTTGGAGCTGTCCGGTGTGCAACGCATCGACACAGCCACCTCCCCAGTCGCCAAATCCTTCGTCATCCTCCCCGGTGAAATTGGCCGCGAAGTTGTAGTTGAGCGTGTTCGACTGGCCCTCTTCAACGCCTTCTTCATCTTCTTCTTCCGCCGTTTTAGTTCCTTCTTCTTTCGATGAGCCTCCATCCTCCGAATGCCGTGGTTTGTCCGCTGGCGCATCTCTTCCTCCTCGCGAAACTTCTTCTCCAGTTGCTCCTCGCGCTGCGCGGACCGCCGAGTGTAGTACTAAAAAAAGGTTGCCGTACAATCGAAAGTTTTTGTTTTGCAATGATCGTCAAAATCGACCCTTTCATAGGGGTTTTCTCGCAGCCCGTTATAGCACGGCCGTTTTTGTAAGCTGATACATGTTCGGTATTTCAACCTCTATCGAATGAGCTATATATCACAACGTCAAGCCTTGTATCGTCCAAAAAACAAGCGTTGTCAGACAAACCTACCACGCTGAGACAGACGTTGAGGCCGATGCAAAAGCCACACGCGGCAATCATCAGCAAAAGCACGACAATCAGCATCCATAGCCCCTGCCAAGACGGCACGCAGCAACCTAAAACATAATAAAAGCCATTGATACACCCAAAACTCGTACCGTAGTCGAAAAAGGTGAGCGAGGCCTGCTGGGTGGGCGCTTCGCCCGACCCATCCGGAGCGAGCTCCTCTGCCATCGAGCGAGCGCGGGGGAACTCGAGCCTGCCGCCGGGGCCAAATCGTGCGAAATGAACTCTTTTTACTTTTTCATTCTTTGATAATATCCAAATTAAGGTTACAGCTCTTTTCTCCGAGCCGTGTATGTAAATTTGACCACAGCGTTGCGCGAATTAATTTTTTTCATTTGTATCAAAAGCTTGTGTAAATTTTGTTTCGCAAAATCAATGAAAATCGAATAAGAAAAACATAATCAATTACCCCCAGGTTTATCGATTCCGCTTAACAACAACATGACGCGCAACGTCATTTGGCCTGTTCGTTTTTCTTTTGAGACATTTTGGGATTCCCTATAGAAATTGTTCTTTTCTTACTTTGGTTCAACATTTTCTATGGATTTTTTCATTATTTAGAAGTTTTTGTTATATATCTATTCAATTCTTTTATTTATCTAACTTTAGTGGGCATGCCAGCCATCACCACTGAGTCACCGATGGACACCAACGACAGCGAGCCCGCGATGGTCCTCAAGGTCAACGATGTCAATTGGTAATTTCTCCACCACTTTCCTTTCAATGTTTTCATTTTAGGCAAATTGAACAATTGCACAAGTGCCAAATAATCCCTGAGAGTGCAGTAAAAGCGTTGTGCACCAAGGTGAAGGAAATTTTGGTGCAAGAAGGCAATGTACAGATCGTCGAGCCGCCCGTAACGGTATAACTTTTTCTTTTTTTTGTTTACCTACCTAAATCTAGATTTGCGGCGATATCCACGGGCAATTTTATGATCTGCTAGAGCTGTTCAAGGTCATTTTTCCTTTTTCACTGATTTATCTTGCTTTCAGGTTGGCGGCTCTATCCCGGATGCGAACTACCTGTTCCTCGGGGACTATGTTGACCGGGGCTTTTGGTCTGTGGAAACGCTACTTCTCCTCCTGGCGTACAAGGTTAGGGGGAATATATGTGGGTCAAACTTTTGTTCAGGTACGTTACCCGGACAGAATAACCTTGATACGCGGAAATCACGAGAGCCGACAAATCACGCAAGTCTACGGGTTCTACGAGGAATGTATGCGGAAATACGGAAACCCTTGCGTATGGCGGATGTGCAACGACGTGTTCGACTGCATGTCGCTGGCGGCTGTGATAGAAAATAAGGTTGGCCGGGCCAGGGAAATTTTAGATTTTGTTTTAGGTGCTCAACGTCCATGGCGGTCTCTCGCCATCGATTATGACCCTTGATCAGATCCGAGAATTGCCTCGTCAGCAAGAAGTTCCACACGAAGGTAACAAATCCGCTGTTGATGAAAAGCTCTTATCTTAGGCCCTATGTGCGATTTGCTATGGTCGGATCCTGATGACTCCATCCAAGAATGGTCGATGAGCCCCCGTGGCGCCGGATATCTCTTTGGCCCCACCGCTACCGACGAGTTCTTCCATACGAACGGCATCGAGTTGATGTGCCGCGCTCATCAGCTCGTCATGGAGGGCTTCAAGTACCATTTCAACGAACGTGTCGTCACGATCTGGTCGGCACCAAACTATTGCTCTCGCTGCGCCAACGTCGCCTCAATTCTACATCTCGACGAGGATTGCAACAAGGAATTTGCCGTGTTTGAAGCCGCAGCTCAGGTACCGTTTCGGTGTTGCTTCGTTAGCGGCGAGGACCTAATTTACCCCTTCTCGCTAAATCCTTTATAATGAAAGGGTATTTCAAACTTTGGTGCCTTTTTAGAGCTAGAATTTTTAATTTTGACATTTGGAACCGATTTTGAGGGCTTTGGAGTCTTTAACCCGGTTTTTATAGCGTTTTGGTTACCGGAAAGTACGAAAAACACTAAAAAGATAGTGTTTATTTTTTATGAAGGTTTTGCTGAATAAAGCCCCGCCCCCCCCCGCCCCCGATAACGAAGCAGGACCATCGCTTCTTTGTATATCAACCTCTTTCAGAGCTCGAATGGTCACATCCCTCGAAAGATGGCACCAGACTACTTCCTCTAAAGACAACAGACGGCCACGCCATTCGACGAGCATCGGGTACCATCGATCTTCATTTTCTCATACCGGTCCCAACCTTCTAGATTCCGATATTTTCGAATTTCTCCTAGCTCTGAACGTGACTTGGCCGTCAGTGGGATTTCTTGTTGCTGCCTCCACTTACATCTACTTCTACTATCTTAGGTCATATGCGTTTTGTGTCGGATTTCCTGTGTTACGCGCCATCAATTTGTTTTCGCGCTCCCTTTTCTATCTTCCGTAAAATGGCATAAATAAATCTCTGCATGGGTCATGGTCGTATGGGTATGGGGGATACGAGTAGACTGTTCCTGGTATCAGGCTGACCAGTAGATGATGCGTGATCGCCAGTCACAGGTGCTGGGGTGGATACGTGGTGTGAAATGGGGAGAAATCTTTTTTCGCTTGTTTAGCAAATGGTCGAGTTGAGAAATGACTCGCGTGGGGCTCCCAAGGCCGGGCTTTATACAGCCCAGCTATCCCCATTTAGGCGCCGGAAAATATATCAATGTTCCACCTGGGCGACCGAACTCTCCCATTTGTTTGGTCTGGAAAGTCTAGTTTGATCGATTTCAATTTTAATTTTTGGTTGTTTCTATGCTTTCCGAGTCAGCAAGATGTTTAGAATGCGTGGGCCCGTGTGGGCCCTGGGGCTTCTGCTTTTGGGGGGAACGGCGTTAGCGCAGAACCCGGCATGCGCCAGCGCGCCGAGTCCGGCGGCGAGGATCGTTTGCGAGCAGTTGCACAAATGGGACAAGACAGCCAGGGTTAGTGTTTTTTGATAGCCTCTTACAAATTTTATACGAGTTATAGTTGTAGCCGGCAATATAGGAAATTCTTACACTTTTCAGGCTAATTCTGCCCAAAAGAAAACGGTAGCATTGCCGCCTTCCGTTGCTCCAGCAGCTGGTAAGCTAGCGGCTTTCAGTTTTCACTAAGCATTCTTTAGCTGGAGGCCCAGCGGGCGGCGGCTTTGCCCCGGATTTGGCGCCGCTAGCGACAAGCCTCGAGTCATGCGTGGAAATGAGCTGCGTATGCCAATTCCTGGCCGGTGTCCGAAGCAACGCCTGTTATTACAATGGAAAAAGAGTCGGCCGGGTATGTCTCACCGATTTTCTAAGTTCACGTGCGAGTTAGCTATTCCGCAAAGAGTACCGGATGATGACGGACGCGGAACGGCAGCGCTTCCACGGCGCCATTCTGCAGCTGAAGCGCTCCGGAAAGTACGATCAAATAGGTTGGTTTATTACCTTTTTTGATGTATTTTTCGGTTAGCTCGTCAACACGCCTCTATGGGCCAATCCGGCGGTGCGCATTCTGGCCCGGCATTCCTGGCCTGGCATCGAGAATTTATCAAACGGTATTGGGTCTTTATAATTGTTTATAGTTTTTTAGATACGAGTTTGAGCTTCGAAGAATAGATCCAGATATCTACATTCCTTATTGGGATTCGACGCTCGAGTCTCGGCTGCCACGACCGCAAGACAGTTGTCTGTTTAGGTAGCGTTTTGAAAGATAAAATTATGGTTAGCGCTTCGTTATTGGATTTTGTATTGCTTTTCAAATGTAAAAAAGTTGAAAAGACATTTTTAGCTCTGAGCTGATGGGCACGGGATCGGGCAGTGTCACCTCTGGGCCGTTTGCTAACTGGAGAACGATCGAGGTTTCTATGCAATTGATTGATTGATTACTTTTCTATTTTAGGGCCCCGTACTTCGACGGGCCGCTGGAGGCGCTGGAAATCCGTTTACGGTATAAAATTTCAATAATTTATTTTACAAATGTTCGGCTAGACAACCACGGAATGAAGAGGGCTTCACGGTGTTGACCAGCTCTTTTCTAGCACAACATCAATTTCAGGACGCCGACATCAACTCGGTGATGAACCAGCGGACCATCGATCAAGTGCTGTGCTTCACGGCCGGGCAAGCCGGATGCCCAATTCGAACGGATTTCAACTGTCTAGAGTATACACACGGAAATGTGCATCTATGGGTCGGAGGTGGGTCCATTGAAAGGGAAACTTTATCGAAACGGGTTCTTCTTTACGGGGACTATTTTTCACCAGTAATTCCGTACGGGCCTGTAACGAAATATAGACCATTTTTATAGCATTCTGCACAATTTTTAAGATATAAAAGCAGATATAGATTATAAAAGTTAAAAAAACTAAATTTAAACCTTAAAAAATTTGACTTTTGGTTAAAAGAAAAAGAAAAGGAGTAAAAAAAGTAAAAAGCTTCGATTTTTTTGAATTTTTTTATGGCGTTCTAGCAATCAAAAACTACTAAGAATATTATAAAAATACACAATATCTGATGAACGCTCGATTTTTAGGAGAAATGTTCGACCAGATGACGTCTGCGAATGACCCGCTATTCTACTTGCACCACTCGTTTGTCGATTATATCTGGGAGGCATGGCGTCAATCTAGACAGGTGGGACATCTAGAAGCAGGTCAAAAACTGCGGATGCTAATTCTAGACGCGCGCACAGCGCGAACAAGATTTCCCGGCCGACAACCAGCTCTGCTCCAGCCCGCAACATTTTGGAGCCGGTCGGATGGCACCGTTCAACCCTTACAGGTTGATCATCTCCTAGCGCTTCATCCTAGAATCCTTAGAAACGTCGACGGACTGTCAAACAAATACACCGACGAGCTCTACTCGTACGCCCCGCGCCCGACCTGTTCTCCGGCAAACCCGAGCTGCGGAAGCCGGTAGGCTTCCGGAAACCGCAAGAACTTTCTTTTTTTAGTTTCCTATTTTGTGACTTCTCGCATGGGGCGGCGCGTTGTGTCTCGAAAGTCAGGGTTGGAGGCAGTGTAAGTTGGAAAGTAGGGAAAGAATTTCAAAAAAATAAATTTAGTGCCAAGGATTTGTTCGGGGCGAGGATTCGTGTTACAACGGCGTCTGCCAGGGAAGCGTCTGCAGGCCGGGGGTGGGTTGTATAATTCGGGGATTATTGCATTAAATAAACCCAGAAAAAATACGAAGAATTGGCAATTTAGAGCGTAATTAAACACTCCAACAAGCCCCAAATACGCGTTTTTCAGGCCGTTCGACCCATCACCGTTGCCCCTTCCGTCACCGTACGCCCGCCAGTTAACGCCCCGAGAGCGGTATCTTTAATAATAGCTATACCATCTTTTTACCCATACTTACCTACTCTGTTTTCTAATCCTAAACCCTTCTAGGCGGACTGCTGGAACGAGAACCAATGCTGCCAAACGTGGGCCGCCCAGGGCGAATGCACACGAAATCGGGGCTACATGCAAGACTTTTGCAAGGCCTCCTGCAACATTTGTACCCCGAATCCGCCGATTCGTGATGGTACGTGCAGCTTTAAAACTAAAAAATAGAGAAAATAAAAGAATGTAAATAACGACCTTGTTTTCAGACTGCTCCGACCGGCACCCGTCGTGTGGCTCTTGGGCGGCCACCGGCGAGTGCACCAAGAATCCAGATTGGATGACCGAGGTGGGAAATAGAGAAAACGAAAAATGCTACCAAAACGTTAAAAAAATAATTATTTTGGCACTGGATTGTTTGCGGGGGAGTAGGGGGCCGTTTTAACCATAGAAAACTCATCAAACGTTTAGAAATGGCAATGTACTTTTTTAAAGGTTCTAAAAATTTCTACAGGTTTTTTACAAATAAAAAAACTATAAAGATATACCTCATGCAACGCTAAAATCTGCAATTTCACAGAACTGCCGCCGCAGCTGCAACCGCTGCACGCGGACCCGAGCCCAGACTTGCTCACGCGCCAGCCAAAGTAGGGTAGGCTTCTCGTTCAAGCTTCTCCAATACAGGCCAGGCGACCCCGGCCCCGAGGAAGCAACAATGCGAGAACTCACCCGGATGCTTCAACGAGTTCGCCTGTTGCCCGCTTTGGGCCATCCAGGTGAGCGACAAAAATCCAGAAGAAAAATCGCTTTCTCACGGGAACACGCTTTTATCTTTCGCGGAACTTGTATAGAATTTTACGCTGATTCAGTCGCTGCTGCCAGACTAGACGTAATAGGCATATTTCATAAGTGTAAAGTCATTTTAGAAAAGCGAAAGGCCCACAACGGGGCTCTAGTCTAGACAAAAATACGTTGTAGCTTTTGAAATAGGCCAAATCCGAAAATTCGAAAGCCAGCTTCGGGATCAGCGCAAGATTCTGCACAAGGCTTGATTGGTTTCATGTCCAAAAACAAATATTAAAAAAGGAAAACGGCGATTTTCAGGGTCAATGTCGGACGAACTCGCAGTTTATGACGTGCCAATGCCGAGTATCCTGTGGAATGTGTTTCCCTTCGGATTATCCATATGGAGGTTAGTTATTAATAAGGAATAAAAAAGGGCATAACGTCCTAAGTTGCTAGAAAACAGGGCCTAAAAATTTTTTTATTCTGGTGGAGGCCAGGTGACCGAAAGAAACAGTAACGAAGAGGTCGAAGTAACGAGACAATATAACCATGTAACACGTTTCAAATGTGACAACAATAAAAAGAAAATGGTGAAAAAGAGAGGCGGACAAGACTATCAAGCCAGCTACTTCCCTTTATGCGCTCTTTGAGTGTTCCCTCCCCCAGGCCCACTCGCCCCCCACCTGGCCCACTCCCCCGGCATATCCTCCCCTCTCCATCCCATCATAAACTTACCTGGCTGGGAGATTCCCGTGATCATGAAGACGGGATCTCTATGGCGAGGCTTGGCCATTGCACTTTTGGCCGGGTTGACCTGTAAGGCAGCTCCGAGTTGGGGTTCGCCTACAGCTAAATTTTTGCGTGAGGGGCTGCGTTCGCGCGGCCCTGCTTTTTTTTAGAAGATTGGGAAGCATAATGTTGTTGGTTATTTTAGCCAGGAAAACCGTTTGTGGGCTTTTTTCTTATTAGCGCTCAAATTCATTGACAGTTATAGTTTTCATGATGCCGAATTGGCGTAATCCCGACTTTTCATAACACCGGATGATTATAGCCGAATTTTTAACACGTCAAATTTTGGTAACACCGTATTTCATACGCCCGAATACCTGGGTTATAAAACTAACTATTTTATAAAAATAACCATTTTGCTATCTATTTATTCCGTAAATGACTATTTTAGCATGCGTCGATTATCACCGCGATTGCCCCGCCTGGGCCCGCCTGGGTGAATGCCGCAAGAACCCGTGGATGGAGGAGAACTGCCGAGCATCATGCAAGACATGCTTCGCCCAATGGGAGCTGCGCTCGATGTGCGGATCTACCAGCAACGCAGGGTGAGTTCCGGTTGTCAAAGTTTAGGCTTGGTTGTGCAGTGTGCTTGGCATGGCCTGCAGTCTGTCACCGTCAACACTTTCAGCTTAATAGCCGGAAAGCGGCGAGGCCAAGCTGCGCCTGCACGAGGCATGGCTCGTCCTGTCGCACGGGCCCGAGGCCGAGCACGTCAACCTAGGAGGTTTAGAGAGAAGCAGACCCCCACGTATTTACGACTTAATTTAATAGCTTCTGCACCTCACTGAATCACTAATACAGGGTGTCCCAATAAAAAGGTCACGGGATGCTATCAAATCCGACCGACTTGAAATTTGCCAGAGGACGGAAGGGAATTAAAATGTTCACAGAAACTTTCAGCCCGTCGGTACAGTGTTTTCGGTTATAGCAAAATAAACTTTTTTCGTTTAACCTGTTTCGTCGGTTGGCCTTGAATGTATGGCAAAAGGCCCCCCTTTTCCCCGGTAATTTTTCGTAAATTCGTTTTGGAAATTGGTTGTTTAATTTTAAAAGGTGTATCATCCCCGTGTTAGAGGGGAGGATTTAGGCGAAATTTATGTTTGTGAAAGTCCAAGTAGCCGAAAAAATGAAGCAAGTGTTGAAACAACATTTTTTTTCAAAACTACTGTACCGATCCGGCTGAAAGTTTCTGTGAACATTTTAAATCCCTTCCGGGCTCTGTTCCAAATTTCAGATCGAACAGATTTGAAATGGCGAAATGCCAGCGTGACCTTTTATTGGGACCCCTTTCCACTTTTATTTCCACCCATTCGAGCGAACCAAAATTTTGCAGATTGATCGCGGCAAATCGGCAGTCTCCAGCCCGGCAGACGCCCCGTGGAGGATGGGGTAAGCCAAGCGGTGCTTTTGAATCGTCGGGGGGGGGGGGGTGACTCCTTTCCGTATAGCTTATCGAAATAGAGGGTATTTCCATTCTTTTTGTACTAAACTCAAAAACACAAAACTTTATATTAAAAAAATCATATTTTTTTAGATTTAAAAAAGACGGTTAAAGTGCTTGTTATTACATTACTTGGCATACATAGATGTATAGGAGATAAATTTAATTTACTTTTATAGCAACTGAAAAAATAGAAAATTCCCTAGTTTCCCAAACCGATCTCCGCAAATTTCAGGAAACCGCCAGGCTTTCGGAGGTGACTGGGACGGCGCAGGCTTCGACGATGGTTGGGGTGTCGGAGGCGCTGGATGGGGATGGGGAGGCTGGGGACGAAGGCGACGAGACGTCGGGAACACCACTTCACCCGAGAACTAAATATCCTAAAACGAGTCGACCATTTACTGTCACACAGCTAGCTTCAACAATACTCTAGTCAAAATGGTCTTTATCCGTACAATTCAGAAACAAATGTGTAAACAATAAACAACTTTGTGGAATACGGCGAGTAACACTCAACGAGTAGCTCTATTCAAGTTTCAATGAAAGCGATTCGTCGCCACCCTTCACGAGCTTTGGCACGCTGATCGAGCGAATTATCTAGAGAGAGAAAAATTGTTTTCAAGAATTGAGAGGTCACCTGTTTGGCCACTTCTGCGATGATTTGCTGCGTCTTGCTGGCTATGCAGTCTTCCTTCTTGAGGATGCGCTCGGCAAGTAGGACATCACCGCAATGCACAACAAGCTTCTGCTCCCATCGCTAAATAAATAGTTGTTCTAGTCCTCAACTCCAACAAGTTGCCCCTTTTGGTGATATTAGGGCTTTGTGATGTGGTAAAGCCTACAAAATTTTGAGAAAAACTGCAAACAAGCGAGGAAAATTATCAACCTGCAAAGTTTTCGACAAAATCGCAAAATTTCTCCCAGATTCTAATAATTCGACAATTCTTTAATGGTGGGAACTGTTGAGAATCTGAAGCGCTAGCGAATGAGCTATTTCACATCACCAAACCCCCATATCACCCAGAAACGAATCCTAGACGGAAAATACCTTGGTCGGCTGCATGTCGTGTTTCATCGCAAGTCCGTGATAGGCCATCGCTTCGGATAAATTAGCCATCGATGGCGCTTTCCCATTCATATGCCTTGACACCCTCGTAAAACGGCGGCAGATCGAATCTTCATAACAGTCATATGGCCCCTAAAAGATTTCAAAATCACAAAAATCAAAAGCCACGCTTACCCGAACATTTGGCGGCTCACCGAAGAACAATTCTTTTTCAACGACGCTCATACTCTCCGCCTGGGCAATCGCTTCTACCACCGTCGAGATCATTTCCTCTTTACGGTCAAAACCCTCGCGCGAGAACCTGAACACTGAGTTCATAGAATTTGCAAAATTCTCACTTTCTCTTGCAAATCAAATGATCATTCATACGCAATTCGGCGCCATCAATTTTGTCCACATATTGCCATTGCATCTGTTGGCGTGCTAGACTCGAATCGTAAAGGAAACCGCTGGCTAAACGAACCGCAAGCCGTGTTCAACTTTTGCAGAGGTGTGCTGTGCAGGTCGGCGATTTGGAGGTGGGCCCTTAGTTGGATCAGCTTGTCCTCGAAAGGAGTTCTATTCGCCTTTCGCTGCTCGACGGTCGGTCTTCGCTCCGCCTAAATTTAGCTTTGTACAGTGCAGACTTGGTGCTGTTTACCTCTGTCTGCTCGCGGATTTCGTTCGCGTGCTTTCGTCCAACACTCGCCTTCACAAATGCCCGTTCATTTTTCAGCCGACGCGCCTTGTCCATGATTCCTGCGCCAAGCTCCCTAGAATATATAAATCAAAATGCCTGAAAAATTTACTTGATTTTCTCCATGACGCCTGGGTTATATTCGCAGCCGATCATATTGACGTTGATAAACACTTGAGACAGACATCGCAGATTTTCTCTAAAAATCGTTGATGAACGAGCGGGGAAAACTTACAACGGGAGATCATTCCAGTGGCTTTCCAAGAATGTCCTGCGCGCGTGCCATACCTACAAAGCATACCAGAGGCTAGAAACGGCTTACCTGGTCATTTTCCCAGGTCTTCCGCTCAGCTTCTAGGTCCGAAATTTTTGGCTTCTTTGCCGATGGCTCATCGTCCGACATCCCTACATCCCCCCAAATTTAATAATTTCGTCTATCATACGTGAAGGATTAATGGAAAACTAAACCCCGACTTTGAATTTCTACTAACAAGTGTCGGTGCCATAAGCGTAAGTTTATTAGCCGTTCACAAAGAAACGCAACAACATTCGAATTGTAACAATTATACACCCAATTCACCCGTCAGTACAACATAAATGAAGACAAGGAAAAGCCCGATCGGGAATGAGAGCAGGAACCAATAAGATATGAAAACAACTGGGTATAACATGGCTATCAATAGCAGAACGCGCGGTGACGCCAAAAATCGTAGATTGAGTATGGCCGGGCAGACGGGCATCGTTTCTCGGAAATAGGGTGCCGCCTGAGAAGGGTGGGGCCGTGGTGCGTCGAGTAGGGCGCGGGCTAATGCACCTGAAAAGACATTAATGAGGTGGAGATTGTTATTACCTATCACCGATTCGTCATCGTAGGCAGCTGCAAGTGTTTGAATTGGCCCGAGTCGCGATATCTTGAACGACAGTGCAGTCAACAAACGAGCCAGCCACGCGATTTCATCTAAAATAGAGTTCTTTAGGAGATAAAATTTGCGAATTAAATCAAATCAGGCTGGCCGTAACGCCATTCGGCCGACACCATTGTATAGTGTTCCAACACTTTCCTTAGGCAATTGTTAAAAAGGGGGGGGGGGACCCCACCCCCCCCGCCCGGGGGGGGGAAGGCCCCCCCCCCCCCCCCCCCCCCCCCCCCCCCCCCCGCCCCGCCCCCCCCCCCCCCCCCCCCGGGGGCCCCCCAACCCCCCCCCCCTCTCAAACGATTCGAAGCCAAAAATTAAAAAAAAGAAATTTCAGAACATTTGAAAAGCATCGAACTCTTGGCCTTTTCGGGTCAAAGCTACTAATTTTATGAGCAAAAATTAATTTTTCGTTTTTGTACTCATGAATGCGCCCACCCTTCGAATGCTAAAGAACCAAAACAAATATAACAACCGTTTAAAAAAATTACTATTTCGACGAAGAATTGGCGGAATCGTTGCTGTACAGGAATGGAAGTCGAACCAGCGCTCACGACCCAAAACCTAGACACCAGCGTTGAGAGAATGGATATGCACCTAACCTGCTTGCGTCCCTCTGGAGTTAGCACCATGATTCCTGTATACGGGTCTTTTTCGTGGTCTGGTAGCCGCCAAGTCCTTGATCGTGGCGTGGTGTACAACAAATTAGTCACGGTGAAGTTGGCCGCCGAAGTGCATGGAGTTACTGTAAATAATCGGGGTTTTTAGGAAATATTAATTAGACCCGTAAAAGGCAATTAAAACATACCGCTTTCGGCGAGTGTGCCCAGCGGCAGATTTTGTTCAGCTTCCAGCAATATATCGTCCAGCTTCATCACTTCTACCCTCAAAAGGTCTGCCTGGGATTTTTCAGAAGTAGACGAGAGAGCATTGCGCAACCACGAATTATTAAGTGACTAAAAAGACCGTTCAATGAAAGCAACAGATTCTCTACAGTTTCGTGAAGCTCTTCAATTTCTTCTTTCCTTCTAGCACGTAATCGGCGGAAATCATCGACGACTTCAATGATCTTCCCAACTGGATCGACGCCGAGTAGTCTAAATAAATAATTTTGTTTTCGAAATTGCTACCTACTCCAAAGCTGTGGACATCGGTGGCCTCCAAGCCCATTCGAAGATGCCCTTCAGAACACGCTCATGCTCAACGCCAACATTAAGCTCACGAATTCTAAAAATAACGATTTTTAGAAATTGGTCTGATAGTCAAAATATTTTATTTTTGAAAACCAGATTGTAAGTTACCTGCGCAATATTTTCCCTAGTAATACGGTGTAGAACCGCTCGTTGCTGAACACAAACTGAGTGTAGGGCTCCAAGCTGCAGCCGTATTCGCAATTTCCGAGGAGGTATCGCCAAGGCCGGCACCAGGTTAGCCAGATATCTTAAAAAATTCGAATTGACAACGTAGATATACAAACCAATCAAGGAAGAAAACATCGTCGCGGATGGACAATTATCCATTGATTCTTTCAAAAAATTGTAAAGGTACGACTGGAAAGACGGGCGTACATGGACGGATGCCTAAAATTCCAAAATGTTTAGAAAACATTATTATACCTTCAGAGCAGTCAATTCGGGATCTGTTCGACCGTTGAGGCAAAATGTGTGAAAATGCTTGCAGATCAGCCGAATTACCGAGATCCTAACGGGGGAAAGATATTTTGAAAAGTATGATCCCGGTTACTTGATGTTGGAAGGGAACGTCTTCGTCGAGCACAGCGCAATCATGAAGCGACAGAGTAAGTGAATAAATTTTGGTCGAAGAGCTTGGTCGGGCTCCTGCACTCTGGAGGTCACCTCTAGAAATCAAAATATTTCAAAAGTAAGATTTCAAACCGGTGAAATGCTTGTTGAGTATAGGAGAATCAGGAAGGAATAGGTTCAGGGGCGTCTTGATGCGATAACTGATGATTTGTGGAGGACTGGCTTGATCGAAGGCCGGCTTCGCAAGTTCGTCGACGGGCAGAAGATTGTTGATCCAATCCTCAATGCATGCCGTCAATACTAAAAACATCAATTGTCTTTGCGAAGAATTTACCTGTTGCTTCTCCGCAGTCAGAACTCCTGTCCAGGTGGTCGCTGACGCTATTCCAAACGGTATCGGCGAGCTCGAGATCGCCATTTTTCAATGTCTGAATCCGTGTAATAAATTTCTGACGGCAAACTCCTTACTTCAAAGAAAAATGAGCCAGAATGTAGAACGGAATACACATCGTGGTAACCCTCATCCATTCCATAACCTTTGTTCACACGGCATAAATCGATGGCAGGATCAGACAACAAGTTTCGGACCACATCCTAAAGATGCTTGAGGATTTTCCACAGTCAAACCTGGACAATTCGTGTATTTTCTAGTTTGCCTCGCGAGTGAAATTCTTGGCAAACGTTACGCACTCGGCCCGACTCGTTATCAAAGGACGAATACATCGTCTATGACAGCAAGTCGGAGAATAAATCTCAAGCGTTGAACAGTTCGCCTAAAAAATACATTATCGATATTGACAAGTTCTCGAAATCATGTATGTTTCGTGGGGACCGACACGTTCGCATCGCATTCAAACAGTTTTAAATAGTTTATGATCTCCAACAAAAAAAAAACACAGAAAAATTCAGAGCAATCACAGAAACAGTCGATGGCCACAGTAATGAAAACCTAACGCCGAGCATATTTAATTTTGTCGCGTTTCCTTCCCTTCCGATCGTCCATGTCTTCGCCTTCAGGAGCCTCCGTCGGTGCGGTAGCCCATGGGATCAGGAATTTGAAGATGATCTAAAACCAGACTAAAAGCAGGCTGAGCAGAAATACCATATATCCGCCATATCCAGGGAAAGCCAGCAAGATCAGATGCGCGTAGCCTGTGTACAACGAGAGCAGCTGAAATTTCTTTTTTTTGTGTCGTGTAAAAACGCTCACCTGAACTATCGTGGTCAGAATTATGATGTCCTTGCAATATTCACCGAAGGCGCTTGGGTCGTTGAGATCAAGGCCCGCATCCAAAACGTGCCTAGATAAATCCGTTAAATCAGATCGTCAAAACCAAAATTACCCCCGTTCATCAAGCGCTGCCTTAGCCATCGATCGCATCAGCAGAATAGCGCATAGTTGAATAAACGCCGAGACGCCCCACCACACCCATTCGTTTGTCGTGACAGTCCAGAGCACAAGCCCGAGCACGAGGTAGAGGCCCTATAAAAGTTTTTTCTAGTCGTGAAGAGGAAGCCAAGAGCCAGAACCACTTTCACTACTCACACTAGACACCAGCGCTGCCAATCCGTACTGCTGCAGGGTTGCCCTATTTTCTTGGTATATTTCCTTCTGCCCTTTCGTCCCTTGTTTCCCCATTTCTAAAAACTATTTGAACATTTGACCAAAAATTTTCCTAGATATACGTAATCCCGCTACGACGGATCCATTTCAATCAAACAATCTAGATGCTGAAGTCTTTATCGATAAGAGTTCGGCGAAAATCGGAAACAAATAATGGCAGGAAAACATACGAACATAACCGGCATAGCAACTCGTGTTCCCGGGTTTCACAGAAGCGGATAACTAGATTTTCGACACACGAGCACTAGAGAAAACAAAGCGTAAAACAATATAAAAGGCGCCTAGTTGTTATGGAGCACAAGGCGGAAGATTTCGTTGCCGATGAAGAAGGAGCCAGCGTTTGGTCGTAGGATGAAAAGTTGGTTGTAGGATTGGATCGGATCTTCGTCGGTCTAAACAAAAGTTATAGATACAAAAAGACAAGCTACCTTTAGCTGTCCGAGGACCGACACCAAAATGGACCCATCGTAGAGGGTTGTGCATCAGTCTTCGTGATGGCCCGTTGGATTTGTCGGAAGGTCAAGCCCTAGAGCGAAAATTTAAGGGAAACAACAATTAATTACCGAGAATTTTTGGAGAATGGCGTCCCTGCCGCGGACCTGCACCCCTTCGAAGGTCATGTAGGAATTGTCTGGATCGTAGAGGTCGGCGAGCCCCTGCGCCCTCAGCTGCGGATCTTGGACGTCAAACTTCTGGTAGTAATGCCCGACAAAGGCATTGCCAATAGTCTCATACTCCATGTTGAAAGACATGCTCTAAAAATAAAAAATAGAGACGGCCGTAAAATATGTAAAAAATGTAGGAAAACGTGAATAAAATCTTATTTTTATTGTCATAAAAGGATATGGGTCAAGATTCGTAAGCGTAGGTAAATGGGCGCCAATGAGTTGAACGTGTGCGCTCGTCGCCCGCCCCGCACCCCGACTGCACATTCAAAAAGATGGCCTAAACAGCCGGGGGAGCCCGCCACTTGCATCACCAACACGCAAAAATGACTATAAAAAGGGGTATAACAAGCTTTTCAACTAGTTGTTTCGTAACAAGGTTTCGATGATTTTTTTCACCATATTTTCTTTTCGGTGAAAAAATTTTCTTTTTTACTAAAATTCAGAATTTTTGTGAAAAATGCTGAAACAGATGTACGTTACAATTCCCTAAACAAAAAGCATCGCTAGGAGTGTTGTGTAGCATGGAATAAATATTGATTTATTTTTATTTTTATTTTTATTTACTCTTCTTTCCAATTTGTTTATTGTAGCTTATTACCCTACGTTTTTCAGATGGCGGAGTCGAAGGCTGTCGAGCTAACGGCAGCTGACCAGGAACGCCAGGAGTTAATCACCAGAAATCTGCAGGTAAGCTGTTTTCTCTATATATCAAACTTCTTTGTTTTAGGAAGTATTGGGCGGCGACAAGTTGAAGGAGCAACTCGCGAAAGGCAAAAATATCCATGTCTACTGGGGCACAGCCACCACTGGAAAGCCACACGTCGGATACCTGGTCCCAATGCGCAAGATTGCCGATTTTCTGCAAGCGGATATTCGGGTAGGTAGCTCAACGAGTCCTGCAATTCCTTTAGGTGACAATTCTGTTCGCTGATCTGCACGCGTTCTTGGACAACATGAAGAGCACGTGGGAGTTGCTGGAGAACCGCGTCATCTACTACCAGCACGTGATCAAGGCTCTCCTCCAGTCTCTTGGCGTGCCGATCGAGAAGCTGCACTTTGTTCGGGGCACGGAGTACCAATTATCCAAGTGAGGGATCTATCAGTGGTGAAAAATCGGGCGGGCGAGCATTTTTTGGAGAATTCAGATCTTTAGCGAGCTTTTCATTTTGGTAGCTGGACATATATCTTATTGGATTGATCTGCTTTTTTTTGAAAATATGACTTTTCGAAGATATGACGACGCAAAAATGCCGTTTCGACTATTGAGAAAGTGATTTTCAAAATTATAAATTTCGAAAACCTGTATGAAAATCTAAAAACGATTTTTAGAGAGTACACCTTTGATATTCTTCGCCTTTGCGGTCAAGTCACGCAGCGTTATGCCTTGAAAGCCGGTGCCGAGGTTGTCAAACAAGTAAGTCCTTTCACGCCAAGTTTTATTGAACCTCTAGGTTGATTCTCCGCTTCTTTCCGGTTTGCTCTATCCCCTACTTCAAGCGCTGGATGAACAGTATTTGAAGGTAGTGAGAAACGACCGGATATTGATTTCATTTTTAGGTGGATGGTCAATTCGGCGGCGTCGATCAACGAAAAATCTTTATCCTGGCTGAGGAGCAGCTTCCTAAGCTGAAACTTGGCAAGCGGTGGCATTTGATGAATCCGATGGTTCCTGGCCTGACCGGATCCAAGATGAGCAGGTAAATTGGTTCTCTAGTTTCTTACCTTAGCTATTTTTCTAGTTCCGAGGAAAATTCTAAAATCGATCTGCTCGATGCCGAGTCAATTGTGCGTAAGAAGATCTCTGGAGCGGCATGTGAACTCGGGGCTGATGATAACGGCGTCTTGTCCTTCTACCAGCACGTGTTGCTGCCAATCAAGTTGCCGGCGCCCGTTTCTTTGGCCGGAAAGTAAGCGCTCTTCAACGATACCTTTTAATCGATTTTTAGGGAATACCATTCATTTGCCGAGATCAAGGCAGCATTCGAGGCGCAAGAGGTATCGGCAGATGCGCTGAAAGATTACTTATCGACATTCCTGAGTGACCTGCTCACAGAGGTGATTTCGATTGTATTTTGTTTTTAACATTTTTAGGTGCAAGCCAAGTGCAAGACTCCCGAGATTGAGACTGTTTTGCAAAAAGGATATCAGGCCGTTCCGGAAGGAAGGTAGTCAAAATACCAGAATTTTTTGATGTGAGATTGCTTTTAGGTAGCCGAGGTGGATAATACGGATGTGAAATTGTCGGATCAAGGCGAAGCAGCTTATTCCAAAGTTGTTTCGAATTTTAAGGTGCTTTTCCTGTATTTCGTGCGAAAAGTTTTTTTAGTTATCCGGCTCGACGACAGGGCTAAGGAAACGGCTTGCTGGTGGTGAGCCAATCAAGCTCGTTGTGCCGGTATTTTGCAAGGGCCGTTTCCATCTCGGCTACTTGGCCCCGCTGCTCCACATAAAGGTTGATTTTTTCGAGAGGGCCTTATTTTTTTCCAGAAATTGCTCTCCTCCGGTCTGAACCTCGAGTCAACGCTGCTGTTGGTCGATTTGATTGCCTTTTTGGATAGCGAGAAAGTTTGTTCTTTTACAATTTGTCTATTTAATTTTTAGGTGTCTTGGGCAGCCCGTGACGGCCGTGCTGCATACTTTAAATCGACGCTTCAAAAGGTGCTAGAGATCCTGGGATTGGAAGGAAAAGTGAAGATTGAGCGCTCGGCCGAAGATGCAAACAATTTTTCAAAGTACTAATTTCTGCAAAAATATTACTGAGATTTTTAGGGAATACGTGCTCGAAATGTACAAGATGGCGTCGGTCGTCACCAGGGATGAGACGGATATTACGGAGGATACTTTGCTTGCAGGAAACTTGGTGAGTTTTGGAAAATGAGTTTTTGACCATTTTCAGATCCCACTGATCTATGCTCTTGACGTTTACTACTCTGGCGCTGATGCTGTACTGATTGGGGAGGACGAGGAGAAGCTTGCCCATCTTGCTGAAAAGGCATAAAAACGTTACAAAAGTCTAAAAAAACATTATTTTAGCTCTGGTCGAACGCGCTGGGCGTGGCTGGTCCATCACAGCTTCTTCACCAATGCGTCATTGGAATGGACGAGTCGAAAATGTCTGCCAAGACGCCTGAGGGACATATTGATCCTTCTGACACTGCCAAACAGGTATTCTCACATATTCTATCGAGAACCCCGTTTAGATCAAAACAAAAATCGCACGCTCGTTTTGTGAACCCCAAAACGTCAGCCGGAACGTGGCGCTGGAGCTGTCGCGTCAACTCGTCTTCCCGTTGCTCGACGGACAAGGTAGCTTTTTTCATACGCTATTTAGTCTTTATCGAATACTATATTATTGTATCCGATTAAATAGCAAGAATATGTTATTAATATTTGCAATCCCACTGTTCAATAAATTATATGTTTAGCTCTGGAAATCACCCGCACACCCGAGAATGGCGGAAGCGTTAGCATCGAAAACTATGAAGGACTGGTGAAAGAATTTGAGGTTTGCCGATTGGCTCTTTCAAAGCAGCCTAATTTTGCAGGTCGGTAGTAATCCTCAATTTCCCCTCCATCCGGCTGACCTGAAATCGGCGGTGTCCGGTGTAGTCAATAAGTAAGTCATTCCCCGGTTACTCCTATGTTTTTTTCTTTAGATTTTGCGATGAATTGCGCCCGGTCATTACCCCCGCAATCTTGGCTGCCGCATTCCCGGTGAACAAGGGCGGCAAAGGAGGAAAGAAGAAATAAAAATTTTTGTGTTCTGTTGCGTTTAAGCTTTATAACATGTTTTCTAAGTCAACTGCGTTGATAATTATCGCCCTGTGATTTTTATGATTTTTGAATGGGTGCCCACGTTGTTTGTTTAGGCATCGAATAATAAAAGTGTTGCTTTCTGAAATTTGTTGCATTTTCCGGTAATCTTCGCCTAGTTACTGTGCAAATAGTGTTAGCCGTTTTATTTCAGTAATATTTTTTCTCTAATATTTTTTAACAAGTTTAGGCTGCTATACAGTTGATTATTTTTAACAAGTTATTTTAGGCATGGACGGGTGTTCGGGTAGTGGTGAGCAGCTAGGCACGGCTTTGGTTGGTTAGAGGTTCCACATCTACTTCTTTTTTTAGCAACAACCCAGCCAGTCCATGCCGCGGGTGAGTTCTCTACAGTCGCTAGATGCTTCTACAAATTCATTTGGAGGTAGGACAATTCACCGACTTCATAAAAATGCTTTTTTTGCGGATTATGGTACTCCTCCGTCTTCTCAGGGACGTTATTCGCAAGGTACACAATTTATCATGAATCTTACAGCCGTTGATTTATATAGATAATGAAGTAGCTGAACCAGCGCATCCTCCAGTACAATTCTTTTTAAAAGCAACCCCGCCGGTTTGTCTTGTTTTTGCAACACTTCATGCATTTTGATTCAGGAAAGCAGAACCAAGAAGCGTGCGCATGTTATCAATAGCAATACCCCTTCTCCAAGCACACGCGAATCTCCACGATCTCCAAAGAAAAAGGTGCTCTTCAGTTAAAACATAACGCTCTCTGTTCTTTAGCTCCAGAAGCAGGCGTCGCCAAAGCAGTATTTCTCGAAAAAGGTATTTTTATTAAGACGTTGCAAGATTTTCTTAGAATAATAACTCGTTTCCACAAGCAAGCGGCAGTCAGTTCGATTACGGACAATGCACACCGGAACCTCCAAGAGAGGAAGCTATGCCGAAATTTTCGACGCCCAAATGGGATCCGACGGCTACACCCACACGAAGGTGAATTCTTTTCTTGATTACCGTTATCATATTATTTTTAGCACCCTCCGGAAGACCCCTCGGACAGCGGAGAGTACGGCCTCTGGTCGGCGGCTATCTTGGCGTGAAATTTCCGTCTACTATTTCGACCGTGCACAGGGATTTGAAACGGTACCACACGAAGGCGAGCTGGCTTTAGGTAATTTTCTTCCCCAGGCGAAAACCAACGAGTTTCAGGCATGCAAGATCAGCATCACACTGAACGTTCGTTTAAACTCAACAGCAAGGGACAACCTTTTATCGGAATCGATGATGACGTGCGTGATTGAAGGTTTTGTGCAAAGGTTTTGCAGACGGGCGATCTCTCTTCTGGGGAAGAAGAGCCGATGGCTGTCGAGAAGCACTCGGCTCGTCACATTCACAACATGTCTCGACAACAAATTGCGAAGGTGTTGAAACGAGCCGGTGTCGTTGTTGTGAGGGTAAGTCCAGCTCTTGGGAATCACTGTTTTCCTTTCCTTTTTCTAGAGCGGAGAGAATGAACTCGAGCAACTGAGGATAAGCCGTCGATCGGCCGGCTGCGGTTGCCCGGATGGAATCTGTTTGCCGGAGACTTGCCAATGTGCGCGGGATGGAATAAAATGTCAAGTAAGGCTCATCTCCCCAAAATAACCCTTATTTAGTGGGATGGACATGGCCAGACTTACGGTCCCTGCAGCTGCGTCGATGAATTCTGTTGTGAAAATCCTCTCGGTCGCGTTGAATACAATCAGTACATGGCGCCGTCGATTTCTGAACTTTCTGGTTTTTAGGGAAAAAGTCGCCGCGCATCACGTGGAGACGAGGCAGCGATGGAGGGATTATACGCGGACAGTAGGGAGTCTTTCCAAAAGGCTGACGCCGTCTTTTAGGGAATTTACAAAGCACCAACGCGCATTCGTCTGGATAGCGGGGAGGCTAATTCAACGTATTGCGATACGCCGCCGGCGAGCTGCAGTCGAGCTGAGGCTCCCGTGCCCGTCCCGCAACCTCTGGTATGTAAATTTAAATTCTTCTTTTTAAACGCGCGCCTTTTTTTAAAGTCCAAATTAGCATTTTTGCGGAACGAATCGATTGGCCGAAAAACTAAGAGCGTTGCCTCGGCGTGCACAAGCCGATTGCGTACGAAAAAAGCAAGCAAGCTCCAACGTTTTCACTTCCAGACCGGGGCTAAAGAAATACCGCTAAAAGCCCTTCTATAAATAGCATTTTTCAGGATGTTGTCCTACCCACCACCGCCCCAGCCTCGACCCCGAAGCTTCCCCCTTCGCCTCGAAAAACGTTCGCTAAGGTACTGTACGATTGGTGGAATCGTTCGTAGCTTGTCCATGTCCTGTTTTTGTTGTTATAATAAATGTGCATCATGTCTGCCTCGTTTTGAGCTTTTCGGTTCTCCCTGGATTGTTCTACGTTTTAAGACACCGCTGACCCCTACCCGTCGTCAACCCGTCCGTGCCACTTCTTTATCCCGTCTTCCCACACCGACTAAGCCCGTAGAGCTCGACGACATCCCATTAAAGCAGAGGTAGTCGTTATAAAAGTACAACTAACAAAGCCAGATGGAATGTTGATCGTAATCATCGCATAGGAATTTTATGCCGAAACCTCTAATTGAATAAGTTATATTGTAAAATTCAGGCTACGCCGCTCGAATTCCGCAAATGCCCTCGAGAAAATGGAAGCTGAACCAAAGACGCCCAGGTAATAAAGCACTGCCGCAAGACAAACCTTTTCAGGATGCGTCGCTCTTCCTCGCTGCCCCGTGTCCAGCCTTCCTTCACATCTCTACCACCCGCCACCAGCATTGGTGAGTCTCGCTCCAATAGTCGAAAAATTTACTTTAGCAGATGCGGCCAGTGGATCTGCCCTATTTGTGAAGCCGTTAATGGGCACGCCGACGGCTCCGCGGCTACCGTTAAATCGGGTCTCCTCTGCGGCTCGTCTAAGGCCGCAAATTCACACCACACCCTCGTATCAACAGATTCAAGCCGGTCAAGTTGAAGAGATCAATGTGAGGACAGTGACTGGGTGTTTACACTGTTTCAGCGTGCCAATATTCCATCACCGCCCGCGGTTTGCATCAGCCCGGATGAAGATTCTAGTAGGCCAATGCCATTGCCACGATTTCCCGTGACCCCGGTCTACCAACGCTTAAAGCCAAGGTTAGCACAGTTTTTTCGGACCGTTATACTCGGTTTAGCCTGTTAAAATCTGCCGCGTCGACTGTTCAGCTGCAACCATTTCTTCCGGATAATAATAGCCAGGCCAGGTTAGCCAGACCGGCGTTCTTGTTTCAATCACCCGCTTCAGGCTCACTCCATCCCGCTCAAGTGCCTGCTTGCGTCCACTCGCCACGATCGCCCGACCATTTATTGGATCTCCCAGGGGGTACTTGATATCTTCTGGCCCTCCAATTTTGATGTTCAGTTTGACGCCCTCAAAATCAACCCTACAACTTCCACGCCGTGTATTGCCGCGAACCGATGATGAAAACAAGGAAATGGCTTTTGACAACAATTGGTCAAAAGGTGACGCTCAAACCAATAACGACAATTCCTTTAGGTCCACCATCGCCTCGAAAATTCCCGAAAACAGATTCATTTCTGTGAGCCAACAACCAACCAGAAATCGATCTGCACCAGTTACAACGTTTCTGCGGGTCTGTGCTAATAAATTTTATATGCCAAACTACGGAAAATTTATCGCATTGATGATTTGCACATATTACATTTACACACACATGATTTCAACTAGTTACAAATTGGGTGCGCATATTCAGTGAGGGTTAAACATTTATCACAATCCCATGCACCCCTTACAGAAAAAACCCGTAGAAAGCGAAGTGAAACGACAATCGAGTTAAAAGCTTATTAAAGGGGCGGGCCAAGTGATTTTCCGGTCCTTCCGCTTGAGGCGCTATCGAGGATGAACGTGGCGTCCTCTTGACCGACTGTGAAGGTCCCGTTCAGGCTGGCAGCGGTGTCCTCTTCGCATTTCAGAAAGGTCACATTTTGGGGATCCTCGTTTTCCTAAATTTGAACATATGCTATTCAAAGGATAAATTACCGGCCCAAGTGGAGGCTTGTCCCATCTCTGCGAATAGCGATTGCCTTTTGTGATTGGAGAAGGCATCGTGAACCTTGAGCCGGAATTCACAGTTTGACCCACCTTGCGTTTGGATTGTTGCTGAAAAAAAATGGCTAGATAACATCATCGGAGCCTTACTTCTTGTGGAGATTGAAGGTCCATGACCTTGGACCGCAAAGAGTTGAACTGGTTAGAAATCGCCTGGATGGTCTGGAACTGCTCGGCCGTTATCATGGCAGCATCCTCCTTGGCCGGGCCAATCAGTTCGGTTAGCTGAATATTGATCAATACCCGAAAAAGGCATCTACGTACCTGGTTGGCCAGCTCATTCTGCAGATAATCCATGCGGTTGATCAACTCGGCTTGTTGCATTTCAATTTGTCGGAATTCTTCAGCCCTTTGCTCCTCGAGCGCTTTGTTCGATTCGGCCTTTGCCTTGATTTCGGAATTTTCTTTCTCCTTGTCGAGGGCGGCAGTGATTTCAGCAATATGCATTTCGAAGAGCGCACGCAACACCACCTTTCCATCCGAATTCGAGGTGAGCTAAAAAGGGACAGCATACAACGAAAGTCGGATCACTGAACCTTTCCACAGAGAACTTCAAAGCGTGCCTCCGGGTCGATTTTGCTGCTGTCTTCTTGGAGCTCTTCGATCTGGAGTTGGCTAAAAATTTCAGATAATGGCCAAGAGAGAATAAGTACCAGTTATCGATTTCTTTGCGGATTTCCATAGCCTCTTCCTCCAGCAATCGCTTCGTCTCCTCGATATCATCTTGCACAGACTCGCCGTCAATACCGGTACGACGCTAAAAGTGACAAGAATATAAACGACAGAGTTCCATAGATTGGGACACCCACGCAAGCCGCACAAAAAGGAACCTGCTTGCAAAGAGAGAGCAAATTAATTGCCGAGTGGACAAGCGAAGAACCGTCGTCCTTGGAAAAAAACAGGTCAAAGAAGCAAGGATGGGCAGAATTTCAAACATCAAAAATCATAACCAACGATACCTTCTTTGTTGGCTGGCCACTCTGGCAACTGCTTAGCTGGGCATTGACCCCGGCGAGCTTTTTGGCAAGCTGCTTGCGCATTTCTCGGAGATTGGCGAGGTTGAGCTTGACCTCTTGCGATGTTCTTAGCAGAGAAACTTCTTCTTCGACCATGTGCTAAAAAGTACTTGAACTGAGCACCAATTTCGACATACCGTGAGCTGTTCCTGGCTGAGCTTTCCGTTGTGCTTGCGAGTGCTACTTTGCATCAGCTGCTCTTGCAGACGTTTGTTGCTGCTGATGGCCTCTTGGTACTTTTTGCGATAAACGTCTAGTTGCAGCGTCAGGGTTCTCTTGGTGCGCACGGCTTCCATTTCGATCTTCTTTTCCTGGAAATCAATCGTAAAAACAGACTGCCGCAAATTCACCTTGTTCTTCATGACCATCATTTGACGGTCCTGCTTGGCCCGCCAGATGCGGTGCTTCTCCGACTCGGCACGGATTTGCTTCAAGAGTTGGACACGAGAGATCTTCAATTGATCAATCTCAGAGCGCATGCGTTCCGTGTTCTTCTCGTTTTGCTGCTTGAACTGCTCTAGACGACGGATATCTTGCAGCTTCTTTTTGTATGTGGCCATCTCCTTCTCCAACTCTTGCAGTTTCTTTCGTCGCTCCTCTGCCAACCTATATTACGAAAATTAAAAAAAGTTCGACTAGTTACTTGTTTGTCTTGCTGGTCTTGCGTAGTTCATCAGCCAAAAGAGCTTTCTCCTTCTCGATGGCTGTGATTTTCTCTTGCAACTCGTTGACGGCTTGCTAAAATCAGAGTCGAGCAAGAAACACCTGATTACCTGATGCTGCTGTTGGAGGTCTTCCAATCGCGAGTCGGACTTATTTGTGTTGGCGAGAATGCGCTCTTTCTCCCGAATAGCATCCAGCAGGCATTCCAGGTTGGTGTCCATAGTATGGCATTTCTTCTTGTATGCTTGCTCGGTGTCTTCTCCATCTTCGTCTTCAGTGTCTTCTTCCATCAGAACGTCTTCTTTGGCATCGTCCTCCTCTTGGCCCTTCTAAATCAACTTTTTTTCAGAAATCTGTAGCCTACAAATTTCGTCAATAGGTCGGTGATCAGCACCAGCTTCTCTTCCGGCGGAGTAGTCCCCTCCAAGACCACCTCGATTTCGTTGGCAAAAGCGTCGGCCCGTTCCTCGATCTGAAGAACGTAAATTGCTAGAAACTCTTGAATTACCTTATAAACATTTGCCGCGTAGGTAATCTTTTGTTCGGTCAACTCCAAGCATTTCTTCTCGAGCATCTCGGCCTTCTCCTTGTACTCGGCTAGAATATTCTCATTGCCAGCCGAAGAGATCGCGAGCGGCCCGGTAGTAGACTGTGAACGCAGCACCGTGTTCTCGTGGCGCAATTGCAGTAGCTAAGACAAAGTTGAAAAATTAAGAAATGTATCATACCTGATCACGCAGTCCTTTGATCATTGCCTCACCGGCGTCGGCGTTCACAACAGCCTTATTCTTGATCTTCTTGGCGCGGTCAGCATAATAGAGGGTGGATAAAGTCTCCTCGCCGTTGGTGTCGGCTGGCGAGACGCAGGCAATCATCACGGTGCACGAATTGCCACCGAGGGAATCTAGAAATGAAATTAGGGACCAAGCGCTCTATACCTTGCAAAATGCGAGTGATCTTCGAATCCCTGTACGGGATATGCTTGAGGCCATCCGAAAGCGCGCTGATGACGTTGCCGAGGGCGAGTAGACCCTCATTAATTTTGATGCCCTCCTTCTTGCATTCTCCCTCGGCTTGCGTTTTCTTCAGCCTCTCAGAGCCGGCGAGGTCCACCAGATGGAATTTGGCCTCGAAGCTGCATTCACTAAAAGCAAAAAAAATAATATGAAAAAGGCCATGTATTACTCTTCATCGACAGCTGTTTTCTGAAGGGAGACGGTGAAAATGGCGTGGGACCGTGAAGACTGTGCGTTCATAGCCGTCGTTCCTTTGCGCCGAGCTTGACAGCCCCTCTCCATCGCGGCCATCGTCTCGGTCAGGCTGCGAACCTTCACAGACGAAAGGCCTTGCACGAAGAAGCCAGTCTCCTTGCTCTCGCGAAGCTGCAGCGGGCCCTTCTGCGCGGCAAGCAGGTCAGCGACTTCTTCTTGGTAGACTTCTAGCATGCTCACGTTGACGAGGAAGCTGGCTGGACAACCAGACTCTTCGATACTCTGCAAAACATCAAATTTTAAAAACCCAAATCAGAACTACCTGGAAGAGAGCAGCAATAAGGCGGGGGATGATGCCACGATTCTCGTTCTCGATTGTAGTTACAGACACCTCGGTACCCATCGTAAAGGTTTTTCCGGAGCCAGTCTGCCCGTAGGCAAGCATCGTGCAGTTATAGCCTGAAAATTATTTGAGGGCAATTGAAAACTACTTACCTTCCAGGAAACGCTGCAGGAGGGGCTCGGCAGTCCTTGTGTACACGTCATCCTGGCTTGATTCCGACGGGAACACATCGTCGAATGCAAACGTTTTGGCACCGATGCGAATGGACGTCTGATTCGTAGAGAGGACCACTTGCGCCGATTCCAGCAGCTCGCGGCTGTTGAGCGGCCTCACCCGTACATTCACCTGAATTTGCCATACAGATCTTATGTTAATGTCTGGAATCAGGAAAGACTCTTGAAGGGTACGACAAAACATAAACATACCTTGACGGGGTCCACTTTCGCGGGTTCAGTCATCCGTACCTCCTCGAAATGCAACCGTCGTCTGAAATGGTCGATTATCAGCCGCAAACAGGAAATGGAAGAGAAGAAAATGAAATTCAGAGATTCAAATCCTGGGGCTAGGCGCGCTCGGCGAAAGGGACAGTCTTTTTGTGCTTTTGTGGGGGACAGATTTCGAAAGGGGGGCGACGCTCTGCAACCAGCCGGGGATTGCCCGCAGTTAGTAGTCGAGCTGACGGGTGAGAACGCGACTCATTTGCGCTATACGAAAAGCTAACTAACGCCTCGAAAAGCAATGGTTTTTTGCTAGATAAGCGCGAAAAGCAATTTATCAAAGCCCCAAAAGAAGAATTACCAGCGCTTGGCCTAAAAGGAATGTAAAAAAGTGGTGTAAAAGGAAAATTCAAAATCAGAATCGGACCGTTCCGCGTGATTCCAAATGACGCTGCTCCCGTTGCGGGACCAGGACCGTTCGCGGCGGGACTAGGCTCGTCATTTGGAATCGCGCGGAACGGATGGGCTGGATTTCGGATTTTTGCGTATTCCGCCGGGGGGTCAGCTGTGGTTTTCTAAATTTCTGGTTTTGTATCAACAATGTGCAGGACCAAAATAAAACATTGCTATACAAACACCGCAGGGGTCTCAGGATCGTGCCACCGGAATAGGTGTTCATCCGCAGAACCCCTGCTAAAACTCGACTGCAGCCCAGCTGAAGGCGCGATGTCGGTGGAAAAACTCGAAAAAGTTAGCCGGTCTTACCACATAAAATATGCACACATACGAGGCATAACGGAAGTCAGATGATGTGCATGGCTTCCCCTAAATAAAATAGAACCCAGCGCCCGGAATAGCTAGTTCATATTATTTTTTAGTCCGACACTATTTAGACTTCTATTCGATGGAATCTTCAACTCGTCTCGGTAAGCCGCGCATCGTGCTGGGCAACATGGCAGCGCGGCCGTTTTTTAGCAGCAGGTGTCAATCCGAAGCCGTCAAAGTCGAACACGGGCGCCGCCGCCTTCAACATGAAGCGCTTCCTGGATCGTCACTTTGTTGAAATTAGAGCCGGGGTTTGTTTTTGTTGGCACACTTTATTCTTGGAGCTTTAACTTATTGTTAGTCCAGAAAATTCTTTAACATTTATCACAAACGATTTAGGCCGATCCGAAATCACTTTATTTAATTTCCATTCCAGATTCACCACATCCCCTACACCAAGGAAGAATTCGAGCACGTCAACCGGGAGGCCAAGTTGGTGCTGGGGAAAGAGCCGGGCTGCCTGGAAATATCTGGCCCGCTCCATATCGTCGGCGACATCCACGGCCAATACAACGATCTGGTCAACATCTTCATGACCCTCGGCCGTCCCCCGGCTACGCGCTACCTCTTTTTGGGTGAGCTTCTCGTTCTTGGTCTTGAATTTTCGTATTTTTTGTAGGTGACTACGTCGACCGGGGCTCGATGCAAGTGGAATGCATCATGTTACTGCTGAGCTATAAGGTATTTTCCTTATGCTGTATCCTACTAGGGCTGTTCTGCATTTTTTTTTGCACCTAGATGTATCCTTGACTTACCTTTGTATCTCGGTTCCCCGTCATGTTACAGGACTGTACAGTATACCAAAATAATCGGGAGAACAAGGCTAACCATTTGGTATACCTTACACACCTGTAGAACAACAGGGAGCGGAGATACAAAAGTTGGGCCCCGGCTGTTGGGGAGGTATCTGGAGTCTTATTTTCAAGCCGGGTTGTAAAGGATACTAAAATACTCGCTAGAGGAAGAGGCGAATTTTGTGTGTACTTTACAACCCTTTAGGCAAACGGGGAGCCGTGGTAAAACAGTTTTCGCGCTCATTCTCACCTATAGTAGCCTGCAAATTCCAGATCCACTACCCAGAGCACGTCTTCCTGCTACGCGGCAACCACGAGCTGGCCAGAATCAACAACACCTACGGATTCCTCCATTCCTGTCGACGACTCATCCCCAGCGATCCCAACTACGGCATCGAGGTCTGGAAGGAATTCCAGGTCAGTGTGCGTGCTTTTCCCTTCATACCCTCTTTCAGCGCACGTTCAACCTGTTATCGTTGTGCGCCCTCATCGACGGCAAGATTTTGTGCATGCATGGGGGGGATCTCGCCCGAGCTGAGCGGTCTCGACGATTTGCGCCAGTTGAAGGTAAACGCATTTTTATGCCCTAAAAATGGAAGATATTCAGAAACCCTTCAAAAACCCGGCACGCGGCCTGGCCAACGATCTGATGTGGGCGGACCCGGACAAAGAGCCATTCAACCACTGGCGAGGCAGCAAGCGTGGCAGCGGCTTCAAGTTTGGCCAAGACGTGCTGGAAGAAGCGCTGGACCGTCTGGGCGTCGAGCTGATCGTGCGGGGCCACCAAATGTGCCTGGAGGGCTACGCGCTCGAGTGCAAGCGGCTGATCCTGACCATCTTCTCGGCGCCCGGCTATTGCGCACAGGTGCGGGGCAAGGATCCTGGGCTGATAGCCCGGGGCCGACCTTCCAGCTATCGCCCTGTAGGGTCTCAATATTGATAGGTGGCTTTGTGCACCGTTTGGTGCTTCCAGGTTATCGGGGGACGGTGATTTAGCGATAAAAATCTAAAATTTATTAAGCGTTAGGTACAGGCACGAAAAATTAAAAGTAATTACCCCCCCCCCCTAACAGTCCAGTACCAAAACTATTTTAGTACCGAAACGCTGGATGCGTGCTGAAGGTGAGCGAGGACCTGGAGTGCAGTCTGATCGCCTTCGTGCCGGATGTGGGGCTTATCATCCCGAATTTCACCGAAATTTAGGGAGAAGGGGTGCAGGATATGCTGGAGAAGGGCGGCCGCCTCTGGGACACCGAGGTCGACGAGTTCTACAAAGCCCAGGCGCCCCAATAATAACCGCGCCATCATTAAAACGTTTTTGCATGAATTTTATGTCGTTAATAAATGTATGTACAGAACACCGAGTATCCACACTTTCTGTTCGTAATCATTATCTGGCGGTTTTGCAACATCGGGGACCAGTTTTTTTTTCTCAGGGTCCAGAAATGCCTACTGACGTAATAGTGAGTATTTCAATTTTGTTTTTAGTTAAATTTAAGTTTGTTTGAAGTTAAAAGTTTTTGAAAAATTTTTGGTCGAAAATCGGACTTTTTGCTCGAGAATTAGATTTTTTTGTATTATTCTTTATTTAAAAATATTTTTTGTTTTTTTTTTTGTTTTTTTCCCTTCCCCTTCCTTCCCCGCCCCCTCCCTTTATATCTTATTTAGGTGGTTTGGGGGGTTTTTTTGTTTTTTTTTTTTCGCGGGAGGGGGGGGAATAAAATCAAACCAATATAAAATTTAAAAAATACAACTATTTCCAACATAAAATAAAATTTTTTTTTAATTTTCAACCCCCCTCTTTTTTATTAAAAAAAAAAAAAAAAACAAAAAGGAATTTTTACTATTTTATGGGAAGAGAAGGCGGCTTCTTTTTTTTTTTCTCTTTTTTGAAAAAAAAATTTTTAAAAAAAATTTTTTTTTTTGGGAAAAACAAGGGTTGAAAATGAGAAGTTTTCAATTATTAGTAAGAATTTCTAGAGTTTTTACGTTTAGGGATAGTAAAAACACGTTCGCGTTTTATATTAAAAATTGGATCCTTAGAAAAGGGTTGTTCCTCCCCGATAATGCGGAATCACCGTGAATATGGATAATGCATTCTCAAAGCAACCCGTGCTCAATATCTTTATCTTTACACAATTTAACACTGGTGCTCATTTGGGGTTTGCTTCTCTTTCTTCTCTTCGGGTATTGCAGGTGGTGCGACGACGTCCTTCGAGCCGTCTCGTCGCATCAGCCGGGAGCTCGAGCAACTGGAAAGCATTTCCTAGTTTTTTCTTTCTTGGGAATTGGCCGGAAGCCGTAGCAAGCTTTTTGTAATGTTTTTTTGCAACTATGGCAACGTAAAGGGTTTGTGGGTTGGGGTGACTAAAGAATAAAACGGGGGATAGGTTGAACGAGTCGCACTTACTCATCCACCAGCTCTTTATGGCAGTGAAACGTGTTGCTGAATTGGGTAATTTGGGACGATATTTTTGTAATTTTGATAATGGATTTATGAGAGTTATCGAAGAATTATTTCTATACACCTACCGTCGAAGCGATAACGACGAGAAGAGCGGCGTGCATTTCAGCATATCCTTCAGCTGAATCGACTCGTAGTTTTCGATCGATTCTTGGAATTTCTCGATCCAACGCTCCTAAAGTTATGTGTTAGCCGGCCCGGTATTGGACTATTATCGGGGGTGGGCTATCTGCCTAGCAAAAATTGTTTGTATTTTTGGTACTGAACTGTTAGCAGGGTGGGGGGACCGAATCTCAGAAATCCTGTAGGACAGTGGAACAATATATGAACCATTTTTATAGCATGTTGCACAGTTTTAGTTATAAAACTCATGAAAAATTATACAAAGTTAGACGTTTTTTAATTTTTGGTGAAAAATGACCAATACATCTTCAAATGTTCAAAATTCTTTGGCAACTTTCTAGCACCGTTTTAATTACCAAACCACAAAATACAAAAATTAGCCCCCCCCCCCCGCTAACGGTCAATTGCCGGCCTTCCATACCTTATCATGCTTATCCAAAGCCTGGAGCGTCGAGATCGAGACCACCTGGTAATAACGCGTCAAATGAATGATGACGAATGCGAATCGAAGAGCGGACACTGAAAGGTAATGGATATTGATTTGCTACTACGATACTGGATGAAGCGGCTTCATTCGAATCGGCATCACAGAACACGCAAGAATCGAGTGGAACAGGCTGCTTTTGCACAATGTAGTGCTCACTCTTGCCAATCGAAGACCCTTTCTAAAAAAGCGGATTTTCGGTCATAAATAACTTACCATCTTTATCTTACTGGCGCACTTTTTCGTCTTGGTCAACAAAAACATGTCATTGAAGAGGAAGGCGTAGACATCAAGTGTTCGCCCATTTTCTAGCCAACTTTTTCGAATATTTTTCGTCCTTACCAACTAATTCGAGGGGCCCTTCGTGGATCAGTTTTCTTCTCGGGTGGGCCAGCAGGTTTTCGCAAAACTGCCTGGATAGCGCGACTTTTAGGAACTATAAAAAAATGTTTATTTTTTAGGTTTTGTCTTACGTCTGGCACAAAAGTTCGGGGCTCGAGTTCCATAATTGACGGCCAAACGACCTAAAAAGAAGTTAGAGGTTAGATTGTGGATGACGAACTTGTGTCTGTAGTTGTTGTAGTCTTTCAAAGTTGTGCAACCATTGTACAGAATCATCGATCGATCGCAGATTCTCATTCATGCCCTCGATCACTTTTTCGAGCTTCTCCTTCCCCTCGTCGCTGGCGGTGTGCCGGTAGATTTCCTGGGATTTTTGTGTGATTTGGGCCTTGAAATCACAAGGATACTTTGAGTAGGATGGGCAGCCTGGTGATTCTTTGAAGCGGTGCAATTAAGAGGTCTTCAAGCTGCAGGCGGAAACACCGCTCGTCCAATAGACAGATCTAAAGGTCGCTATGAGAGTTGCTAAATGTCGAAAATCGTAATGCTGAAATTTCTGAATACCGAAATTTCTATTTTCGAAACTTTTTGCATAGAATTTGGAATTTTTCCACGAGATTTGCTCATGTCATTTCGGCATTATGAAACCACGACATTATGAAAATTCGGCATTTCCAAAGCAACCCTTGCTGGACCGTTCTGGCTCGTTAGCGGGGGGGGGGGGGGGAAGCAAACGTCCTTTCTTGAGTCTAACCTCGATAGTAAAAATCGCTGTTTTTTTACCAGCTTCAAATTACTAAAAGTCTTGTGAAAAATTCCATTTTTCAAATTTTTACCTTGATTGATTTTTAAACTTTTGATATCTAAAAATGACGTCAATACTATTTGAAGGGGCTTTATTTGAGCATGGGGTCTCCCCCACTAACGAACCAGAACCGCTTTGTCACAGGAATTCTGTAGTTTACCCTCTCGAACTCGCTGAATCGCTCCTCCTTCTGGCGAATTGTGCCCAGATATTCCATCGTGGCGCGGTAGTTGATACAATACGCTTGATATGCTGAGATCGTCGACGGGCCCTTGGAAAACTGGAAAAAAACGGTAATTTTAGGTGTATTTTGGTAAGTTTTGTACCTTTTCGAAGAGCTGTACAGTCAAATCGGTGCAGTCGTAGTCTTCGTTGGGTGGATTTGAGTGGAGGAGGGAGAGGAACGTCTGGCAGAAGCCGCGTGAGATCCGGCATAGTTGGTCCAGATTCCCTGAAGATGGTACGGTTCTTTCCGCTTAACAGCGGCGCAGTTGTGTTCCCTGTGTTTCCGTACGACATTCTATCTGTTTTTTATGTAAAAAGATCACCTTTGGCCAAAAATGTAAGAAAAATCGCCAAAAACATCAAAATTTTCGAATTTTCAAGAATTAAAATAGTTTTATAACGTTATTTTAAACCAAAAATTTCTGGGATTTTACGATAAACTTACCAAATAGAAGATCAGGCTCCACGGTAAGCAGACAACCCTCCACTTGGCATTTCTTCAGCGGCTCTTTGTAGACATTTCTAGAAGCTGGTTTGTGCAAATTCTGGATCTTAACCGTTAGCGGGGGCTAGCTAGACTACTTGGAAAAAATCTTAGCTAATGGGTTTTTATAGCTCTTACAAATTATAGTAATTTTTGATTACCAAAAAGTCATAAAAATAGTTTAGAAAGTTGTAAATTTAAAGTTTACCAGGGTTGAAAAGCCGCTTCGCGACTTTCAACCCTGGCCCAGTCCGGCCCCTTAATATGCTTCACTCTGCATACGTATCTCGAATTCCGATGAGAAAATGAAAAATGACGCTCTCTAGCTGATTATATAGGCGACCGCCACTTCCGGTGTATGTTTTTTTTTCCTAACAAAGAGGGGTGTCCTATTTTTCAACAAAAACTTAATTTTAATGTCAAAAATAGAACAATTTGCACAATCTGATAAGCGTGCAGTCATCTTGGGGCCATTACGCACCTAATGGCGTATCAAATATAGCTTAAGGCCCTTCCCGCCTTGAGATATCCTCCGGACAACCTGACGGAAGTTGTATGCAAATGCACACACACAGACACTATTTTTTTATATATAGTAGGATGACCATTTTCAAACATTTTTTGGCCAAAAATAGCGCTTTGAAATAGGTGATAATTTTTATGAATTTTTCTATATGTAAAAATGTAAGGCTCACCTCAACACCAACAGCTGACGATGCAGAAATTTGAGTTCCGAGTGGAAAAGCTCCCAGACAGCCTGTAGATATTTGTATTGATGCTTCGGGATGCCTTCCGGACGCTCGAACAGTTCATCCCAGGTGACTCCCTAAAACATCTACCATGTTTAATTTAGTACCCAGAGCATACCAGCAGTTTTTCGAGCTGCTCATCCTCAAATTCATGCTCAACACTCGCGCCGAGGGCCGACTGCACGTGTTTGATGATCTCGCGTCTTTTGGCGCGATGGGACCATTCATACTAAATTTAGGGGGGTGATGGTGAAGTTCATAGATCATCTACCAATCTTTTGAGAATCCAGGTTGATCGCGTCTTTGCGTGCTCGTTGCTGTTTTCGGCGTAGAAAGCCTGGGCGGCAATGGTGGCACGTTGGAGGTCTAAAATAAAAGTATCGAAAATGGTAATGGTTTGTTAGCGGGGGGCGGGAAGGCTGGGTTAAGTTCCTTTAATAACCTCCATATTAATAAAGCAGACGATTTTATAGTGTTTTTCATGGTTTCCTGTTATCAAAATCCATATTAAAACATTTTTTAGAGCGAAAATTGATGGCTTTTCATAAATTTTTCGCCAGAAAACTCAAAGTTTTTGAAAAGTGTTGTGATTTTATGGATTGTCATATTCGAAA